TCATGGAAATGATAATATAACATCTTCAGTTTCCGTAAGAAACCTTGGCGTAATCTTTAACAGTACTGTGGACATGACACAACATATATCAATCTGTAAATCTCCTTTTTATCAACTCTATAGAATTTTTAAATACCTGATACAAATACAACTTGTTTCGTCGGTGTTCCATCACGGTGAAGAATGTGTGACATGGCGAGAAAACGAAACTATATACATGTAAAAAATCACAACACAATTTATATGGACTACAATCACTTGTTTATACACATATAGCACGACGTTTCGACAAGTATTGTGTTATCGTTATCAAGTACAAATGATAAATTGATAAACTAAAAGGAAATATTTATAGTCCTATAAAATGAAACCATAAGACCTATTTTATTACAATAAAAAAGTGATTAGTTCAATTGGAAACATAACTTTTAACACATAAACAACTAATAGGATAATTGATAAAAGGTTAACATATGATCAAAGTGTGAGGAGACACATGAAGCTAATTAAACAATTCATGTACACAATTGGTGAAGCCCACTAAAGTAAGAAATTAAACTTTCTTTAGCTGTTGTTAGTTTTTCGTGATAACAATTTATAAGCTGACTATTGGAGAGGAATATATTGGGGTTAACATAATTATTGGTTATAGATAAGTGGTAATCACTAAGTTAATTACACAATTACTGTACGTAACTAGTAAAATACTATTCATCAAGATTTATAAACATGCAATAATTGTTGTATATTTTTTTTGAGATATAGAAGGATTGATAAAAAATGTAATTGGGATATAAGAATAATTATATGTTTGGCACAAATTTATGGAGAAATGTTAAGGGGGTCCCAAATAATTTATGGTTTGATCATTACCTTGTACCAAATAAACCTATTTATCAACCATCTGTCATACAAATTCCATTGTCGTGGGAGATAGACAATGACCAATAAAATAAATATTATAATCACAATCTTCGGATATTAGCAAACAGCATTCCGTCCAAAAAAATATTCCTACCATTAGCATACGAAACATATGAATATGTGAGAGAGAGAGAGAGAAATGGGGTTTAACGTCCACTCAACACAAACTAGGTCATTTCGGGACTAACATATGGTTTAATTTTATTTCAATAATTCGCTTGTGCGTAGGGGTCTTTAGCAGTGGGAGGAAACCGGAGGACCCGGAGAAAACCCACGAGGTTGGACAGGCGACCCTACTCCTTGTCACGTACAACCGGGGATTCGAAACTACGCCAGTCGACTCAATGACAGACTTTATGATACAGGGCGCGCACGCTAACCATTCAGCCATCCAACCCCCACTATGAATATGTTAACTAGCAGTGTCTAACATAATATCATTAATGGTTTTATTCTTTGGAACCTTAAAATTGACGAACATGGGTCTAGCAACACGTATTATTATAATAAATATGAATGAAAATAGTATGACTAGAACTATTGCTGGCTTTTACGCTGTAATTTACAAAATACTAAAATAACCTACTGAATGTTTGAGTACGCCACACAGTTATCACTATGAACAAATCACGCATTATACACATAAACCATGAACATTTGTGGTGAACATTTTATACATTAGTTGTATAAAAATGTTCATTAATTTTGGACTTTTCGCAAATATTCTGAACCAGTAATCATGAAGTTTTCGTGAATTAAAAGGTGTAGCGAATTTCCAGAATTAAGTTGTGTGATGGTGTGTGCTTTTGCTTACTCGTTTTATATGATGATATAGAAACTTCACAGATAACTCCGATAGTCATATATTATGCAACATAAGCCGTCATTTGCTAGTAATGTAACCAATCTGTCCTGAGTTTGAAATTTTAATCCGTACCGGAAATTTTATCCTATTATCCTAGATTAATGGAATTCGGGTTTATGGTATGTCTATTAATATGTTGTTCCTGTGACGGTCAATCGGCCATTGTGCCATGCGTCCTTTTTCGATTTTAAGACGTGGTACGTTTCTATCGAAATGTTCAAGTTAATGCGTCAATTGGATAGATGCAGCCCATTCCATTCAGCGTGTGGAAGGCCCATATATTATGACTATAACAAAAGAGTTGTCACCCTTATTTGGTTATCTCTACAAATTCAGATTCACAAGTTTGTTTGTAAGCAATAAACGTATGTTTTCGCTTCTTCGAAGTTACATTATGGAGTAGAACAAGATTCCAATGAAAAGGAAAGATATTAAAACAATTTTTAAATTGTTACACGTTTATAAGCGTTACGAAAGTACCGAATGTTATTATTCGTGACTGCAATATCTTTCTTTATCATAATAGGCAACAATCAGCTGACACAAACATCATCAATAGGTAAAAACAACTCTCAGAAATAGCACTTTAGTTATTCTGGTCGCCATTTCGGATTAGAGGAAAATTTCAGACTGCCTCACAAGCTTAGTTGAAAGAGTATGTTCTAGGGTATATAAATTCACTGATAATGACCTGTCTATTTTATGAAAATATAAATAACGGTTTGTAACAATTCGTAACACACATGTTGATCACAGTAGTTGACAATACAAACTATTTCGCGATACCTTCGGATAGAATATGATTTCAAGGAATTAGAAATAGCACGATATTAATATAAAACATGTAGATTTAAAATAGATCCAGTCAGGGTTTCATTAAAATTTCAAGGAATTAGACATAACACGATATTCATATAAAACGTGTAGATTTAATACAGACCCAATCATGGTTTCATTAAAATGGGCAGTAGATCTCTATGCTGATGGTAAATATGAAGGTGTAGATTTAACTAAATATGTGTGTGTTTTTAAAAGTAACTATACGTCTACGATTAAACTTTTAAGTCCACCAACAGTATTTAGAGCGACTGCTGCTTAACTGAGCACTTTATTTGGACTCAAATCAAGATTTTATGTTCCTAGAACTTGCTTGACATTCAAACCTGGCTCATTATGAACTAACCTTTCTTGAACAAAGATGAGTATTTCGACAAGACCAAATCTGAACAGTATGGTTTGCAAAATCGTATAAAACGTTTGAAAACAGAGTGGCTTTGTAAATGGCTTACCATTACTATTATCTGGACAGCTATTTCCTGTAAACAATCAACACAACATCTAATGAAATTGGTAATCATTATATCTTGAAGTCAATCAAATTGAAAAAGATAAGGCCATTTAAAAAGCTGAATTAAATATTTGGGTTTGGGATTTTGATGAAGAAAATAGCAGGAATGCCCTTGGGATAGCAATTATTTGGTAAGTATTAGATCCATAAGTCAATCGAATTGGAAACTGTAAAATCAATTAAATGCTAAATGAAAAAGTTCAGTTTCGCAGATTGCAATATTTCGCTATTCTTAACATGCAGTAGATCGGTCTGGAGATTTGTGATAATGAAGTGACGGTTGCGAGCATAATAATCTAATTTATAAGAATAATACGTGAAACAATTATAAATTCTTACCATGTATTCTGGATAGAATCATTGAAATTGGTACAAATAACACAATTATAGACACGTCCACTGCTCAATTACCTCCGATACAGGTGAAACAGGATGTATTGAAAAGTGGAGTAATTTCCCTTTTATTTGTATTCTGATATTTATAACAAGCTTTAGAAACGTGACTAGGACATCAATATTCATGGCTAATGAATAGGTTCATAGCTCTTAAACTCGGTAAATAGCGAATGTTTCATTGATTTGAAAGGAAAGTTAAAGAAGGGTGTGATCATTTTATTTTCCATGGCATGTATGCAGCCTAGAAAGCGGCTTCCTCGGGTACTTCTTTGAATGTCTTGGCCAAGCAATCCTTTAAGGTTAATGCCAGTTTTCGTCCCATGCTAACTTCTAGACAGGTTTGAATTCTGGCCCACCTTCTCTAAATTCAGCCTTATGAGTTTATAATGGTAGACTTTAAAAAGTTTGAGTTTACACTTGAAAGTGTAGACCCGGATTTAACATTTTAGGTTAAAATGTCTTGAACTGAATTGAATTGATATTTCGATTAAAGACGTCTCCATTGTCAAGTACCACTGTTACGATCATCAACAAAGTCTCGATTATCCACGTTTAAATTAAATTAATAAATGGAGATCGTGTTTCAATCCATTGAAAATCACTTCCATCCGATGATCCAGAGAGGTTTTTTTATGGGCTTGTCACGTTAATAAATGTCATATTAATAGTTTATATAACATATGAGGCTAAAGGGAAGGCACTGAATAGGCAGATTTAACCCTTACATAATATAAGACTGAGTGGAGGTTGCATGGTTTGTTTACTATTTTATTAAGACACCAATTGCAGCTTACGGGAATAGTCGGTCCAAATGTGACCATTCTATCTAATGTAATTACTACTTATTATTGAGTTAAGTTTCACATAATATTACCCGGTCTTTATCAAAGGTTGGACCAGACATGAACATTACACCCCCTTCAACATTGTAATCTTTATTAGTCGTGTTGTTACCGACTTATGTGTCCAGTCGAGTCCTGTAATAATAATATATGCAGGGAACTATTTCATTCTGTATTAGAAATAAAATGGGGTTTAACGTCCTACTATTCTGCTCCGACTTTTCCCGGACTTCGGCGCTTCGACCTACTCTTTAACGTGCACGCCATTGTTTACACGCTTGATAGACATGTGCAAATAATATTAGGTTGGACAGGACATGAACATGGAATCGCTTGTTTAATTACACCTCATTCTACATAGTGTTATTAACTTCATTAATTGTGATGTAATCGACCATTGTGTGTCCAGTCCTGTTAAAGGTTCATGTTAATATGTACAAGTAACCATATCCTTCTATATTAAAACATCCTGTTATCCGGTAAAAAAATGTCCCAGATAGAAAAAAAAAATGCCAAGGATTTATATTGGCAATTATATAACATCAATAAGGTTCATCAGCAAAGAACTTGTAACACTGATATCATTATAAAGAACTCATAATACAGCATAAAATAAATATGAAATTCAACAAGTTGTAACATTATTAGGTTTTTATAGTTCTTATGTGACAAAATAAGCGAAATACAAAATTGTTAGGATTATATATACTCTCATAATAAAATAAAATTTCAAAATTTTAACACATTGTTATATAATAATCGCATAATACAAAATGAACGAAATACAAAATTGTAACATTATATAGTAATCGAAATGTGCAAAATAAACGAAAAACAAAATTAAACAGCTACGTTTAATAACATTTACAAAGAACAGCTGCAGTTCAAATAACTGAGTGGGCTTGATTGTACACTCACCGGTCATTGAAAATGTCTTCGCGCCATTTGGAGAACTATACATTTTTTTGACTATTTACAGTATACCAGTAAGAACGCGAGACGGTCATAATAGGATTTTAGAATCCAGTCAAATATAAAATATGGAATATAAAACAAGACAAAGAAAACAACTGATAAACACTGCTTCGAGCTAGATCAGTGCATTTGCGTTGGTTAGGTTAGTTTAAGCGTAGACTTTCGTAACCATGTTCTGGGGCTGTTGCAGCAATATTTTCATAAGATGGTGACATGGATGAAGTCAGACTTTCATAAGCCTGATCAGGGGATGTTGATAGTTTCGAAGGAGAGTTCTCATAAACACCTCCCTTCACTTGTGATTGACTTGAAGTAACAGGTTCATAACCCGAGGGTCTTAATGGTATTGGTGGGTTCTGAGACCCATGCTGTGATATATTAAAAGCATCTTCTGGACCTATGGTATTGTAAGTCGGATCCTCGTCTTCCATTCTTTTGCTTTTATGTCTTCTCCTATAGAAAACATTTAAACAAAGATAAAACAGAAGGAAATAATAAATCTGAAAAGTTATTGTTTTTAAAATATGCGTGACTGTACATTAATGTATACGCATGAAATAACCTTAAATATTAATATAAAAATGATCAAACTACTAAAAAATGAAAGGAGACATCTGCTATCATTTTATTTGTTATATTGTATCCAAATATCCCGACAGCGATCGTTTCAAAAAGAACATACACAATCCAGGTTGCCATGTCTACGTATTGTTATATACATGTAATAATAATAATAATAATAATGATTTTGTAGATTTATCTAATTCAAGTGTCCTTGGAGGTCATTTAAATCTAATAAATTATCTCAAAATGTATTTTTTATAGTAATAAAAAGACTCACCAAAGACAAACACCGATAACAGCCAAACCTATTACTGCTACGACACCAAATAATCCACCAATAATAGCACCAACTGTAATATACAATAGTATGTTAAATTGTCAAGAACATCTGATAATATTTTAAGCTCTAATTTAGTGATTGTTAACCACAGAACAGTGTTGTTTTATATCAGCTTTAATAATCTGATAATTTAAATTATGAATTCAGAGCGATACTAGAAACTGGTCACCAAGTTTCTTAAACATAATACCCATGGAAACCATGCGTTGCCAAGACATCTAGTTGAGTAACACGCAGAATCTAAGGTAAATCTTGAAATTCTTGTAAACAGCCCGTTTAAACATATTTGCCTTAGACGGTATAGGTCTAGAAGGGCAAAGAAGGAACCAGCGACTAAATATTTCAGAAATTCACGAATTTGGTACATGTTGTCTATAAATATATAAATTTGGTAACTTGTTTGATCTAAAGATGATGAAAACGGTTTGAATATACAGGATTTGTTATTAATATCAGTGATTTATGGCGGAAGGATGAGATAGAAAACAGGTAAATGTGAATTTCTTGTCATGGAAATATTTCCACTATACGATCATTTGACCGTGTATTGCCAAACAATATAGTCAGTCATCTTTTAGACATTTGTATCAGATAATTGTGAAATGTTTGTGGGAGCCACGGTGGCTAAGTGAGTAAGACGCTGGCTCGCTATTCTGGAGGTTGCGGGTTCGCTCCCGGTGATGCTTACGAGTTTTGTATCAGATAATTGTGAAATGATTGTGGGAGCCACGATGGCTAAGTGAGTAAGGCACTGGCTCGCTAGTCTGGAGGTCGCGGGTTCGCTCCCGGTGATGGCCGAGAAAGTTCATTGGATTTTCCGGCGTGGTGTCCCCTAGAAAATGTCCAGATGTAATGGCTCATCGTTTACCTTTTCAGTCTTCATGTATATTTTTATTGATGTTTACATGGTCACAACAACCGGCTATTTAGTGACTTAAGATGCTTTCTAATGTACAAACTGTGTATTTGATATATTTGAACTAAAAACATATTCAAACTATTATATCTATCAAAAGTTTGCTTAAAATCCCTCTCAAAACTAAAATCGCTAGGTAATTCTAAAATCTATTTTACGCACCTTTATCACGTAACTTGAGTAACGGGTGTATGTGTGTGTGTGTGTGGGGGGGGGGGGGCAATACAGATTGTATTTGCCGTTACTCGCCCTCCATTTACCACTTCTTTTTTGCCGTGCAGTAATGACACTCTGTCGTACGTTTAAGTCGCTCACTGTTCTCACAACCGCTAACTATTCGGCCAATAAGCCGACAGGTTCCAGTTAGTGATTCTTTACAGCAGTGGCGTATCTTCTGACAAGCACTGGAATTACGCCCCTGTCTAAACATCTGACAAACATTTCTTTTAGATAACATAAAATTACCATAAAAATACAAGTCAATTTCGTTAATCTTTTAATTAACAAATTATGGCACTACATGAAAATTACAATATTGTACCTTCCTTGCTTTCACTGATGCAATGGTCCTATGCCAGTACCTCTCCATGGAGCCCAGGGCAAATGCTCTACTTTGCCATACCGTGGATACGCCACTGCCCTTTCACGTGCGCACCATTCACCTTTTTTGAATTGTTTATTTATTTGTAGTTTCTGAGTATGATGTCTTGTCCATGTATTTGTTTTAGTGTAAATTGTGTGTGGTGCTGCCCCTCTGCGCTTACTAATAGGGTGTTTTTTATTTAGGGAATATCATATTTTTCTAGTTAAATTGAGTGTCGCTACTTTCATACGCAATTTGCTATACGTTTATTTGAAATCCGTTAATAATGTTGTGGGATGCATCTTAAAGGCTTTCAGTTATAATTTTTGAACTCGTTTGTCACATATTAAACTGATTATATTACAAGATATATATTTGTCGGTATAAAGGTCGTTACGATTTTGAAGTTGTTTAATTTGCTAACACTCCCAACGCTAAAACTCGAGCCGTTGGGGGGTAAATAAACAGATACACTTCAACAAACTGTAAACACAGCTTAAGGGAAAAGCAAAATACAAAATAGGACCATAAATGTTTATGTCATGGTTCACATAGAACCCATCACAATATTGTTTTTTGTTATTTATTTTAATCTAAAATTCATTCTTTTCAAATAGCCCCAACGGTGGTTCTTGAAACTGCGAATGAAATTTAAATTAAAAAAAACCCCAAAAACCTCAGATAACTATGTGAACTGGGGCGATTAACCGACATATTTCTTTTTTCTGACGTACAATTCTGACGTACGAATCAACTTCCTGAACAATAATAACGACTTATATCGTGAAAGAAATGCTTATATGTACAAATATAAGCTTTGTTGAACCTGCGTGCCGATAAACGCATACTTGCCGTCCTTTGGTTTATCGACTCGATTCAACTTATATCTTAAATGAAATATGTGTAGAAATATAAGCTTTGTTGTCCTTAAGTTTAGCGACTCAATTCAACTTATATCGTGAAAGAAATGCGTATATATATGTCGTGTTTGGTTTTTTTTTCTTCCACTGATTTGAATACTGACCAAATATATAAACCGTTGCTCCTCGATATACCGTATTGGCGAACATTGTAAGAATTGACCATATTCTTTACGTTTACTAAAAAAGGCCATATCTCTTTAAATGTTTTTTTCTTTATTATTGTTATTACATTATTAAAACCATTCATCCCTAACAAATTTCGGAAAGAGTTAGAGGCCTGAAATGTTATCTAACTTATTAATTTGACATTAATTAACTTATCAAGACCATACTCAACTTTCGATGCAATCGTTAGTCTGCGATATTTAATGGATTTGAATACGTTTTGTGATGGCCGATTTAACCTACAAATGGATAAGCGAGATGATGATGATGATCGTAAAACGGTAGTAATGCCGATCGAGGTGAGCCTAATACTGAATCGCTAATATCAGAGTGAAGCAATTTGACTGAACTTTTCAGCATATGCGGTTTCCATTATCTATTTTTAACTATTAAAGCGAGAACTGTTAGCTTTTTATCTAATTTTACCAATGGTCCTTTAAACAAAGGCGTCGTCGTTTGATTTGGTACGCGATTTAGTTCAGTTCCTTGCAGTTAAACTGCATCGTTTACATATCTATTCGATTCTGGAATTGCATGTGGTTTATGTGGTACAAAGTGAAACCGCAATAATACCCCAATAATTACCTGGCGGGTTTGTACTTGGGTCCAAAGTGGTAAAATCGAAACTGTCGGTAGAACTAAAGATCATATCATCACCAGAAGTTGTTTCTTCGGTTGACATGGTTGTTGAAGGAGTAACCTGTGTAGGTGGAGAACATTCAACCAGAAGTTCAGTGGGCGTTTCTATAACAAAACAGGTGATTATTCAAACACTATACCATATACATATCTTAATTTAAACGAACATAAATAAATGATAAACTAGAAGAAGGAATGAATTTTATGTTGCAGGGCGCTTTGCACCTAGCAAAGTATATGCAGTAGTTTTTATTGGCTAATACATGTATAATATTTTACAAAGAAAGAAAAGATCCTCTATGAATCTTCGCGCCGTTATTAGGAATCACCGGGTACATACACCACTTGTGACTTGGTGAATCTGTCGTAGAAGCTTATAAGTCGCAACTAAAATATAATTACGAGAACACCAAGATTGGACCAACGGTTATTTTGTCACGAGCGATCGGATCAGTGTCATTAACGGAACTGTATAACAAAAGTTGGCTAACGTAGTTAATATGTGTAGGATAAAGCACGAGACAGAGGTTATGCTGGTCAAAGAAAGACTGAAGAAAATAACCCGAGAAAAAGAAAAACCGAGGCCGCCAGCCCGAGGATTTTCTGTCGAGGGTGTTTCTGAAATCTTTCTTCCCTAGCATAATCGAGGTCGAAGACATGATAAATACACCATTCCTCTATATTTTGGCTATTAAATTTCATACGTACACGGATTTTTATTTCTGAGACTCTGTTAAGATCGGGACAATACACAGTTTTAATTACTTTTACCTAATACACAGTTTTAATTCTGCTAACCTAATACACAGTCTATTTCTGCTTACCTAATACACAGTTTTAATTCTGCTCACCTAATACACAGTCTATTTCTGCTCACCTAATACACAGTTTTAATTCTGCTCACCTAATACACATTTTTATTCTGCTTACCTAATACACAGTTTTAATTCTATTTATCTAATACACAGTTCTTATAATGTTTACCTGATGATTGAATTTCAAGACATCTTGTAAAATCTGAACCATTATGTTTCTGCAAGAATATATTGACTTCACCGTTTGGTTGTAGATTATATGGTAGTGGCTTTGGCGATATGTCACAGTTATACCGACCAGTTGAAGCTTTGGTCTTTAAAGTTAAATTATACGAACACCACCTGGTTAAAGTTGTAGAATTAAAGCTAACTATTCTTCCTGTACCCACTTCCGGACGTATTAATTTTAGTGTACAGGAGCAGCTGTTAAAGTTATCTGTTGGTTGTATATTTATATCTAGTAATATACTGGATCCTCCTTGTGTTGAATTACTACACATATTAACAACAGGGCCTGAAATAGTATTTGTCTTATAATACGTGGAGTAAAAAATATATAATAAATGATCACGTGGCTAGCTCAGCACAACGTAACACACATTCTCCGGATTGAACAACAGCCCATCAGCTCTTAATGACATAGGACGTGGCTTGACACTGCTGTGGACATTCAGAATGGTTACAGTGTCCATAACTAAAGTAAATTCCGCCCATTTGAAGGAAGCATATTGGTTTGATGTAACGATATTATGATCAAAAATTGTGTTGGAATTGGGCTTTAGGGTAGGGGTTTTCTAGGGGTTACTATTGGTGATAGGTTAATTACGACTGAGATGGTTGCAAAAGAATAATTACTGGTAATGTCTTTTCACAATCCCAAAATGTTTCTGGATAGTTATCAGTATCCATTGGATGGGGTCAAGAAGGGTAGTCTAAATAGCTATAATCTTGACATTGTAAAACAACTTACCTTTATCAGTTGGACATCTCTCACCTAAAATATAAAATGGAAATTTATTTCATAAATATGTATAACGACTTATTCGATGCCGCGCGGCGTTCATACAATATTCTAAGTAATTTAATATGGTCGTATATTGTCACCAACCTCGCATCTTGTACGAACTTTTGTTCGTCCGTCCGTCTTGTTAGTTAGCATAGAGGCTATACTAATCCACGCATCTTTTAAAAATTGGTATGGGTTGTCGACCTCATTGTCATGATGAGACGTTTTTGATTTTCAACCATTTTTGATAATCACTCCCGGAGTTATACTCACTTGTTACTAAATCTTGTAAGATCTTCATAGTCAATAACCCGCCTTTCTTTAACTTAAAATTAATTGAAAGGCTTTCCGCCCTATTGAAAAATGAATTTCAACGATGTTAGATAATAACCCTCAGAGTTGCCCCCCCCCCCCAAACTTTCTTATTACAACTTGTTAGAATCCTAGAGGCTTTAATTATGATTTTAATTGATTTGTTTAAAATGTGAATGTGCTGTTCAAGTCAGTCATAACTGCTCGTTAGACCTAGCTGCTGGTGGGCGTATGTTTCTTTGATTACAGCTACGATAAGATGTTACGAAATCTTGTTAACACCTTGGGAGCTTTAATAGTGACTAATCTGTTTAAATTTGTTTGTGTTGTTTAACTGCTCCCACGTCGTAGCTGCTGTTTCGCTGCTTGACAACCTGACTTTTAATGTTTAATAACGCAGTGGTTACATCTGAATAAAACGTAACACGTGTGAAAAGGGAAGAAGAAGATGATTCATGAGTAATATGTGTTTTGCTTCATGCTCCGTTAAAACACAAAGGGGTACAAGGGCGAACAAAAGGACACTAAACTAAGACTCTTTTGAACTATATTATACGTAATATACGTGTGTAAACTGCTCAATCGTGCAATTCTTTTAAGTAAACGTGGTTAACTTGTTTTGACGTTAAACGATGCAATAGCTAAACTTGGCGTACATATATATTTCCTCGACAGCAATGATCCAAAATAAATATGAATGGATTGGATAATTATATACATATATTGAAACTATAGAGAAATAAAACAAATTCTTGCCAAAATGAAGTTTTATAATGTAAACGATACAGTAGGCAGTATGTACTTTCTTTTTTGTTTTTCCATATGTACAGACAAATCGCTGAAACGTTTGGAGAATCTTATGTAAACATCGTCATAAGTGAGGATTTCTCTTTACAGCATGGAGTCCGACATTGCGTACTTTCATTCACCGAATTTTTATAGTAACGCCATGTCAAAAAAAATCTGCCATTCCCAAGTTGAATTTGCAGAAACAAGAGCGGTTGATTGACTTAGTGGAAGACAACCCGTCTTTCCAGGCTAGAAGGTGAACATCCACATGCGTACACTTCACGCGAGTAAAAAAACGCATTAGACCGAACGTTTCACTGGTAGAAACGAGTACATGCGGAAATCAGGCCTAATACAATGAATAATGGAGAGCATGATTGAATGAATGAAATGGGGTTCGCAAACTATTTTTCTACACCTACCAGGTTAACGAAGACGGGCAGACCCCTTACACTCAGCTATGAGGATAATGACAGAAACAGTGGTCGACGCTTTGTAGTAATTAACCTTATACATTTTATTTATAGGGTTCACTACCTACTTTTTTTAAACCTATCGGGATAATGAAGACTTGCACACGCCATACAGTGAGCTATGAGGAAATGACCGAAACAGTGGTCGATGCTCTGTAGTAAATATATAGATAGAGAGACATGGGGTTTAACTTCCACTCGACACAAACTAGGTCATTTCGGGACTAACATATGGTTCAATTTTCTTTTAATAATTCGCTTGCGCGTAGGTGCTGTAACAGTGGGATGAAACCGGAGGACTCCGAGAAAACCCACGAGGTTGGACAGACGACTCCAATCCTTGTCACGTACAACCGGGGAATCAAAACTAAGCAAGTTGATTCAATGACAGACCTTATCATACAGCGCGCACGTGCTAACCATTCGGCCATCCAACCCCCCTGTACAGTAAATAACCTTTTAAATTTTATTGATATCTTGCCATACAATTTCAGTTTGTGATTAAAGTTTTCCTGGCCTTTAGAAATATTAGATGAAAAGAATGTTTTGGGGTTCGAATACATGACTTAATCATTGCAAAATGAAATGGGGTTTAACGTCCTACTTTTCTGCACCGACTGGGCTAATGAAGACAGAAATACTCCAAGCAGTGTGCTATGAGGGTAATTTTGCCCGGAATGCGGTGCTACGATCTACTCTTATATCGAATTCCAACTTTCACCGCTTTTTTACGTGCACGCAACGTCCAGTCAAAACGACTAGACAGCTGTCCTTGACAGGCACTCCGTAACGTACCATGGACATGGCGAAACCACGTCGGAAAAGTCTGGAGAACTTTGTATGCCAGTAATGGGGGCGAACCCGGCATCACAAGGCTAGCAATGCAGTGTCTTACTTACAGAGCTATCGTGGCTATATCACGCAATGACATGTAACCATTTGATAACAATAACGAAAGTGTTCGCGTAAATTGTTCACCTGTAAGTTGGTCATAAAAAAGGAAAAAAATTACGGGTCGGTTTTGGTCAAACAACGTCAAGTTAGGGACCATTGCAACGTGGAGAGACATTGTATCAGGAGAAGCTTTTAAACCTGGTACGCAGCCGCGGTGGCTCAGTGAGTAAGTCGTTTTAAAACCAGGGACGTTATTAACAATACGTGATAGGTCTAGAAAACAACTTCCAGGCAATGAGAAAATTTAGCAACGAAATTAATCAGTTATTTTCAGTTGTAAAATCGAGTTATTTCTTTGACCGTATGTACACACGTATTCCGCTTTTCTTCATAAAAAAAAAGATAGAATTAGATACCTTACCTTGTATTACCATTAATATTGATAATACGAAGATTGATAATATTATCCATGCACTTCTTGCCATCTTAAGCTTATAGAATACAATGCACAGTAAAGAAGTCAACCAGGAAGAATATAGTTTGTATAGGTTTAAAATTGGAGTTAGTAACTAGGGCTGTATGCGACCCAGTTTTATTACCTATAACAAAAGATGTTCAAGTTTACACAATTACGTTATAACAATGAAAAGCCAACAGCCACTATTCTCTTAAACATACTACTAAGCCAGGAACAGTAAGTTAATGGCTAATCTAATTAAACTAGACATTATTATTGATCCGTGTATTTGATTTGTTACTCTTAGGGGATTATGCCAATAACATAAATATATCTTAGATCGTGACCAAAGATGGGTAACGCTGGTCGGACATACATATGTAAAGGAATGCCGGGTAGGAAACGGGCGCTTCGTGTGCGTGAAGTCACGATAAGAAATAAAATACATTTCACTCTATGAGGTTTTATAAAATTTCTTTCTTTCTTCCCAGTGACTACATGTTAAATATTGTTTTCTGTTTTGCTTTGTTTAACAACATATTTCCACTCCACTGCTCAAGTGTGCAAAATGTGTTACTTTCATCTAAAATCCAACAGTAATATCAGACACCTGCTAACAAAAGATGCTCCTCACACACCGAACATTAGTGTTTTCGAGATTGGATTACTGTAATAGTATTCTTATTGGTCTAAACCAAAATCTACTCTCTAAACTTCAAGTTATCCAAAACAATGCTGCCAGAATAGTTAGTCAATCATCCAGACGCTCTCACATTAAACCAATATTGAAGGAACTACACTGGTTACCAGTTTGTTCCAGAATTGACTATAAACGTCTTTGTATTGTTTATAGATGTCTTCACGGTTCCAGTCCTGCATATCTACCAGGGCTAATAAACCGTTACGTACCACACCATAACTTAAGATCACAAGATTTGTGCTTGTTACAGATTCCAAAGTATAATCTACAAACTTTAGATTCGAAAACATTCCAATACAGTGTACCTATGTTGTGGAATTCTTTACCCCAACATCTTAAAACAGCTCCATCACTTGAATCTTTTGAATCAAAACTAAAAACTCATCTATTTACCAGTGCATTTTAGCTAGAGTGGATCCGGATATGTGTGTAAATAGTGACTATAGAGCACATAGTACGCGCCTAGAACATGAATTTAAGGATGGATTGGCGCTTTACAAATAAACATTATTATTATTATTAAGTGTCGAACTATAATACCGGAATTTTCAACTTTTATCACGAATTATTTACTATAATCATGATACGAATCACCTACGACCATGTAGCAGGACCCATTACAGAACGGGGATCACGTGGCTAAGTGGGTAAGACGCTGGCTCGCTAGTACGGAGGTCGGGTGTTCGATCCCTGCACTGGCCGAGAAAGTTCATTCAGATTTTCCGGCGTGGTTTCCCCTTGTCAGTGATGCAGGATGGAGGGCCTGGCAAGAACAGCTGTCTAGTCGTTCGGATGGGACGAAAAACCTAGGTCCCGTGTACACTTGGCGTACACGTAAATGATCCCTTCGCAGTTGGAATCCGATATAAGAGTAGGCCGTAGCGCCGCTGCCCGGACAAAATTTCCCTCATAGCACACTGTATGGCGTATGCCCGTCTTCATTAGCCCAGGTTAGGAGCAGAACAGTAGGACCTTAAACCCCAATCCATTTCCATTACAGAACTATCACAATATTATACGAACTTATATATAACTACGCAATGAAAGAATTAATACACAGAACTTCAGATAATTCTCCACCATGCCGTCAGTTCCCACACCTCTGCCAAGACCCAATTACGATCGAGGATACCACCACGTGCACGTCTTGATTAACAAGTCTTAGTCTTTAACTTCTGCAACAATGCTAGCAGACGATTCACGACACGACTCTAGTAACAACAATGAACTGATTATTCATTATAAATATAGAGAAAATGATTATAATCATATAACAAAATCATGTACTACATGACAGATCTTATTCGAGTGAAAAGCAGCATTGCAAAGTATAAAAAGTCACTGTAGAAGGATAATAAAAGTTTTAAGCTATAAGCGTGCAGCAGCTCTGATTTGCTAACCTGAAGGTCCTGGATAATATGATCCCGTGTTCGCCGAAAAACTTCTTGCGGATTTTCCCCAAGTCGTCCAGATGAATAAACCGAGGTCTGCAGGTCTATACCTTGGAATTACAATTGTTTGCTAATTCCTAACATAAACAAAGTTTTTTTTGTATAAAATAAGTTTTATGTTTCAGAAAGTATGTTTGAAAGTAACAGTCGGGAAACACGTAATGTTTGGATTATATTCAGAGTAATTTGCAAATATTCAGAAATTATCACAAGTTATGATAAGTAAATAAAAACATGGGCATTATTTTTTCAAATATTGCAAATGAAATGAAAAGGCTATTGTTGGGGTTGTCCTAAAGTGTCCATTAATAGGGAGACGAACAGCGCCTTATATACTGCAGGGTTTAGAACTCAATTGACTGATTACCTTACTGAAAATATCTCATAAATTCTCGGTCATAATCAATTGTTTGATTCTATAATGATATATCTACGGGTTCTCTTCGTTTTAAATAAAATTGTGTTGATGGTGGTTTGTGTGTACAATCATATACTGAGCGCCATGGAAAACGCATCACTTTTTTTCCCCAAATATTTTATTACTAGGTGGTTTTGTATGTATAATATTATGCAATACTATGAACTATTGTTTCACACAATGCTCCCAAACGCAAAAAATATCGGCCCGTGTGGACAAAAAAAAATTGCACGAGATGCACATGAAAAACCCAATATTCACATGCAGCATTGTGTGTGAGCCCTTTAAAAGCATGTTTTCAACTTAATGTGCAGTACATGAACTGTGAAACGTCAATCTGTCGTAATTTGTTGTTGGAAGTGTAAAGGAATCGAGCTAGAGATGCCGAGACTTACTGAAAATCAACGGAATGAAGCCATGGGAATGTCCAGGACTGGCATGTCTACACGTGCTATTGCCAGACACTTCAATTGTCATCATTCTATTATTGTAAGGTTGGTGGAACGTGTTCGAGTTACTGGATCAACACGTGACCGTCAACGTCCTGGTCCACAACGCGTTACAACCCAGGCTCAAGACCGCTACATCCGGGTCACTCATCTGCGTGACAGATTCCGCCCAGCGACTCGAACAGGTGCAGCAGTCGACGGAAGACAAGGACCAGTAAGTGCCAACACCGTAAGACGTCGTCTAAGAGAAGTAGGACTCCGTGCACGACGACCTTATGTTGGAGCTATCCTCAGGGATCATCACCGTCAGCGGCGTTTGATATGGGCTCAAGGACACCAGACATGGAGAAGAGTAGACTGGCAAAGTGTGCTCTTCAGTGATGAGAGTCGCTTTCATCTTTATCACGCTGATGGCCGTCAACGTGTGTGGAGACGTCTTGGGGAACGTCTTGCAGACTGCTGCGTCTTCGAAACGAATCGATGGGTTGGGGGAAGTGTAATGGTGTGGGGAGGCTTCACATTTCATCACCGGACCGCCCTACACATTTGCAGGGGTCGCGTTAATGCTGTAGCCTACCGTGATGATGGCCCGTGGGGGACACACGCGCTACTGACATCTGTGTCGTATTTTTGGTTTTGACCCCTCTAACTTTGTACCCTTGATTACAGATTAAACATCCATAAGTGTACAAATGTGTTGTTATTGATGTGTTCCCATTTGAATATTTTTCACAATAAGAAGCAAAATAAATAAGATATGTTTACAGGATCATTTTGTTATACGAAAAACTAAGTGATGCGTTTTCCATGGCGCTCAGTATATATTTACATGTATATATTTACTATTATTAAAATAATACCTGATTGAATATTAACACATCTGGTTACATCCATATCATCCCGATCTGTTTCTTTCTTTAATTATATATCTACTGTTTCCCTCGGTTTTAATTCAAATTGTGATCGTAGTGGTGACTGTACAGTCTTCGATCCCTGCGTTGCCCGAGAAAGTTCATCCAGATTTTCCGGCCTGGTTCCACTTTGTCAGTAATGCAGGACGAAGGGCCTGACAAGGACAGCTGTCTAGTCGTTTGTATGGGACGAAAAACCGAGGTCCCGTGTTGGAATTCGATATAAGAATAGGCCATGGTGCTGCTGTCCGGGCAAAATTTCCCACATAGCACACTGGATGGCGTATGCCCGTCTTCAACCCAGTTCAGAGCAGAACAGCAGGCCGTTAAATCCCATTTCATTTCATTTCATTTCATTTCATTTGTCTGTACAGCCAAATGTCCCTGCTGAACTAACAGTTTTCACAGTTATACTTTAATAACACCAGTTGTTTTGGTTTTGATATAAAGGAGTAACGATGACACCGTTAGTCTGTTCTGTAACAGGGTGTATTAATTGTAGTATACAGGAACAGTTGTTGATATTATCTTCAGGTTTTATATTTATATCTAGATATAATCTAGATGAGTCACAGATATATTTGCATACTGTATTATTATTATATAGATACAATCAAGCTGCCATAAACAACTGAGAGAGAGAGAGAGAGAGAGAGAGATGGGGTTGAACGTCCACTCAACACAAACTAGGTCATTTCGGGACTAACATATGGTTTAATTTTATTTCAATAATTCGCTTGCGCGTAGGGGTCTTTAGCAGTGGGAGGAAACCGGAGAATCCGGAGAAAACCCATGAGGTTGGACAGGCGACCCTACTCCTTGTCACGTACAACCGGGGATTCGAAGCCACGCCAGTTGACTCAATGACAGGCCTTATGATACAGCACGCACGTGCTAACCATTCGACCACCCAACCCGCTAAATTGAAAATTGAATATATCCAGTCGTCTAAAGTTTTCGGGGGGGGGGGGGGGTCGAATGGTTAGCACGTGCATGCTGTATCATAAAGTCTGTCACTGAGCGAATTATTGAAGTAACATTAAACCATATGTTAGTTCCGATTCGCAGAATGGTTTGATTATAATTGATTATAAGCCGATTTTGTTGCATGGTCTTAATTCACTTTATAACAAAAATCACACAACTTACCACTGCTGTTTGGACACCTGTTTTCCTGGAAATATACATTATATATTTAATATGCGACATACCACCTTCTCCTGGTAATGTCAAATACGAGTAAAATATCATCAACTTCTTATACCCTGTCTCATACACGATATCCACCTATCCAGTTAATGGTTATAACAATAACCAAGACTGTATACGTCATAAATAAATGTACGAATATTCTTCTAGATGCAAACGCACAATCCTAAACATATAGCATATAGTTTGAATTAAAATAAATAATTATGTAAAGGGAGAAAATAGCCGCTGAATTTTTATTAAATCTGGGCCCTGTTTCTCGAAAACTTAACCAAAAATAAAATCCAAATTTTAGTAGATACTTTCATTTGGACTGGCTAAGCACTAAAATCAATCTAATATTATCCAATCAAATTACTAAAATGTGGTTTTATCTTAGTTAAAATTTCGTGAAACAGGCCCCAGATAATTGGGCGGTAAGATGATAAGGTATCATCTATATTATTTCAATGGAAATTAGTTTATTTACATCTTCAGCTATTTACAGCATACTTTAGGGCAGTGTAATGGAAATTTACTTTTTTGTAATCAAATGATTAAATAATTCCTTAAAACCGTCCACTACTGCATACTCCTAGCACTGTTTCATTTGATTAGACTTAATGCCAACATTGCTGTAATGGAAGCAAATTTCTGTTCCAAATTATGACTGGTTAATAGTCCGATTAACAACCAATAGTTAACTGCGTAACAATTTCATTAGGCTATAAACAGAGCTCCAAATTGGACCAAAAATATGTTTACATAACGTTACGTCATGATTCACGATATTTACGACCAATTAATCTGTGCATAGAAGATCTGCTAGAATAGTGCAGAAAAAATAACTGCGAGAGAAGCGAGACTATGAAAACGGATACAACGTAAACAATACTGTTTGGAGACGAACAGTACTTTCACCGTTTTTAATACCTTAAATCACTGTCCAGGGTTTCAGGAAAGACCCCAGATTAAATGAAGGGTTGTCATGTTGTACTTGGGATTTAATTGATTTGATTGAACGGGAAGAATAGACACACTCCCTCAGCAATGTGTAATCCAGCAATGGCCAGAGAGGGATTTCTCGGACCATTGCTTCAGGAATATGTCACTACTGTGGTTGGAGGCAGGACGAAAGACATCAGTATTGGAACCATTTCTAATGTAGTAGTAGTAGTATATTGGTTAGCATAAATATGTCACATAAAATGCCTATCTGTTACTACTGGAAATGAAGATGATTGTTAACATTTGTAGCAAACTTGTTGACATATTTAGCTGTGAGCACTACACAAACAAGGAGGAAAACAGCTGTAATATGTTTTATATATATATCCAGGTTATTTTTTTTATATATAATAACACGATGCCAAAAGCCGATACGCTGATACTATGGATATAGTTACCATTGACATTTGGTGGTTTTGTAGAATTCTTTTAAGCGGAACTCAGGGGGGGGGGGGGGGGCGGGGGGGGTAGCCGTATGGTTAGCGCGTGCGCGTTGTATCCAAAGGTCTGTCGTTGAGTCAACTGGCGTGGTGTCTATTCCCTGTAATTTCTCTGTAATTTTAAAATCCAGGTAAGACTAGTATATCAAGTAGTCTACATCTGGAACATTTTGGCAACTGGAAAAAAGTTTTGGTTAGCCAGTGAACTCTTCACGTACAGTTATGTACACGCAAGTTCCATACGGGTGTATAGTAAACGGGTTGATTTGCGATTAATAAAAAAAACGTCCTATGGGTACTTTATGAAACGATGTCGTGCTTTGACTGGTGTAGCCGGTGCTTGACCTTAGTATTGATATTTGAACGTGTAAAATGACGGGCTTTTTATCTTCATTGATAAAATAACTATCTGATGCTAACCAAAGACTAGGGAAATATTTTATATGGCAAGTACCCGTTCCTTGCATCACTGGTTTAAATATTCTGATTTGATTGTAGTAATTAATTTATCTTAGTTAAATTTAAGTTGCATTATCCTTACATTACTGTTAGCGACTTTATTTACGCGTTCCTGCATTTGTTTTCAAGATCTATCTGACTTATTCAATAGAACCAAGAATGACTCATTGAATATTCATGTAAGTTAATTGATAAAAGATACCTATACGTCTTCCTTTCAACAGTGTGCTCTTAATTACTTATATCAAGCCAGTTATAGAATATATTGAACATTTCAGTCAAATTACTTCATTCTGAGTGGAGTTATGGCCATTTGAAGAATAGTGTAGTCTCGAGTGTCATTGTTATCATTGTTGCGATAATACACAAAGTCTCGGATTATCCATTTTTTAATTAAATTATTATCTTGCAATCGCTTTTAAATGCGATGAAAACCTCAACCTTCCGATAGTCTAGAGAGTTGATAATGGGCTTGGGATGTGAATTTAATTTTACAAATTTCCACCAGGCAAATATTCAGATAACTCACTCTATAAATATATAACATTTAGTGATCTTAATGCTCAAATAACACATATTTTATTTTATTGCTCACAATTTTTACAGTGTTGTTAAGCAAAAGATGGGATATAGCAAAATTATTTCAAAGTTTTTCAGCTAGTTGGTTTCAAGTATGGCTTTAATATAGGGTCATCTAAAATAAGATTTTCAGGAGTATCGGTATAAAATATCTGGCAAACTATACACAGTATGTATTAAGAACCGAGTTTGTTGGAGGCAAGTTGGAGTCATGGCCGATACAATCTGGCAATCATATTTTGTTGCAGTTCATTTTTAGTGGACTAATGCCCAGAATAAAATAACAATAATTTTCTAAAGGGTGATAATACCCGAAATAATAATTATAAGTTGGGTTACAAGAAGATTTTTGTTAAGTTGTAAAAGTTTATGGGAAACATTTATAGTCACTGTATATTGTTGCTGATTGGTTTAAAGTAAGATGTTCTTAATATTCATGGTCTATTGTTGCTGATTGTTTTAAATTAAAATGTTCAAAATCTGGAAGATTTAGAAGTTCTTCATATAAAGTCAGATTGTCATTGGTTTAATCCTTGGACTTCGGTTGAAATGACGAACAAGGCTCTGTTTCCCTAGTTTACAGATGCGCCTTGATCTAAAGACGTCCATAATCTGAATGCTTATGTGTTGGTAAGATTTTCATAATGTTGATGGTTTAGTATTTGTTCACCTGAATCAGGATTTAGATCGGTTTGGTTAATGTGTCTAGATTGGTTTTCATAAGTTGGTGTAGCAGAAAGATTGTTGTCTGTTGGCTGATTTGAGATGCGATTATTGTTAATTTGACTTATAGATGTTGGCTGATTTGAAGCAAGACTTTCACGGTTTTCCTCGGTAGAGAATACTTGATTAGTCGAACGATTTTCACAAACTTCAACGGTAGTTACCGCGGGTTCGTTTGAAGAAAGATTAGTTTGAAGACCTTGATACGTCACGTCCGCTGGATTGATATTATTTTGTAGATCTAAAGAAGAATATGTTGTATCTTCTTCTGGTATTTTAGCTCTATAACACCTCCTACAAGAGAAAAATATTTATTAAATAATACGATATTAAATGTGACTTAAATACAGCATTATTTGTATCCATCTCTAAAAGTAGTAATCGCGAAGAAGAATTGATACATTAATATTAGTATTTGTATTAATAATCTTACCAAACTAATATAGCGAGTACAACGCCACCAATGACCAATATAACACCTAACACTCCACCAATAATAGCGCCAACTATAAAATATTATAAAAATTTGAAACATACTTATCTATAAGTACAATTACCTCATCTATTTACAAAGAATGTGCGATTTTGTGTCAGCATTGCATAGGTAAGAATGCAACTGGTTATTTGTAATGAAATTAAATATGAATTCATTTGACACATGTATGTCCATTATGGTTTTGATGACAAGGAGTTCACAATGTATAATCATAAATCCAGAAATATAAATAATTTTCCAAAATGGAATAAAGAACCAACAAACCCCCAAATTACTAGTCGAACTATCAGAGCACGAAGAGATTGTCGGTTACAGGGGCAATATATCCACATTTAGTCATCAAGTGAACAGAATTTCAAGTGAACCGAATTTCAACAGATTTTGATACCATGAGAGAGTGAGAGAGGGAAGAGAGAGAGAGAGAGAGAGAGAGAGAGAGAGAGGGAGAGTGGGAGGTGTCTTGGGTAGACACCTTACAATGCTGTTAATATCCTAAAACGTTCCAGATAAGGTATGTCTTTTAGCGGGAAGGTACTTGATTGATAATGAAAAAACGTTTAAGCCAAAAACAGAATTGATCTCATCTCAATGGACCTGTTTTTGTGGTCAAAAGAATATTTGGCCATTTAGCGACTATCGTGCGGTACCCGGTTTACTTCGGTAGGTTCTGCTTTAATGACACAAAAATGGGTCGTTAGATTTTTGCACACGTCATATACAATGCAGTACTCAAAAGTCTAAAGTAGACCAAAAAATAATGAATGATAAATCAGTTCCAAATCAGTTCCAACTGCAGTAACAAAATGGATTTCATTAGAAAACAGAGGACCTAGCTAGCAGACAATGACACAGATAAAACAAACAATACATTTCATAAACAAGATTCCATAGCTATAAATATTGTGTTGTACTAGAGCATGTCCAATTGCTTACCCTGTTTTTCTTGTGTATTGCTGTCTGTCTTGGGTCCATGTGAGGGTGTTTTATATACATCAGTGATAGTAGAGGTCGTGGTTACTGTCGGTGGTGACTGATTGTTGGGTAATGAACAGGATACAGTAAAAAAACTATCAGCACCTGAAAATCGACAATTTGGTCAAGCAACTTTCAATTACATTATGTATTACATCTATATTGAAAAGAATTATACAGAATGGAATGTTAGTGTTTAGATATTTGGTATATTTTATTATGATTTATGGGATTTACTCAATTGGGATCATGTGTTTTTTTCGCATTTTCTTAATGTGACGTTCAAAATTCCGCGGCACACTTAGGAAGATCTCGCAGCACATCTGTGTGCCGTGGCTGAGAATCACTGCTCAAAATTATCGATGCAACCTAGGCATTAATGAAGAGTGAACAAGGTGAACAATATCATGATATTTTACATTGTACTATGGTAATGATGTATAATCAATAATAATACAAGAATAATTTATGTATAAAACGTACGATTTGATTGACTGTTGTATAAGGTTTGTTATTGTGTTAAATTGATTAAAACATACAAACCAAAGTCTTCCTAATTTGAAATATAGCTAGTTCAGCACTTATATAGAGAAACATGTCATGAAAATAAAACCCCACCCAGATATGTATATTCTTGTCCTGGGCTTCAAATCACTTTGCACATTTAAATCAACTATAGTTATTATAACAGTGGTTGTAGATGTATAAGCAGGGACATTGATATTCCAATCAATTTAAATATATATCTTTACCTATTTACCATTATCAACAGAAATAGTTTTAATACCTGATTGAATATTAATACATCTGGTAATAACTTGATCACTATGGTTGTATTTTTTCTTTAATAACATATCCACTGTTTCTCTTGGTTTTAATTCAAAATATGTTACTGGTTGTTCCTGTGTACAACCATATGTTCCTCTTAGTCTTCCATTTGCCACAGTTAAACTATAATCACACCAGTAGTTGTCTGGATAGAAAGGAGTAAAGGCAACAGGGTAAGTCTGTTCTGTATCAGGTTGTATGAATTGTAGTATACAGGTACAGTTGTTGATATTTTCTTCAAGTTTTATATTTATATCTAACAATACTCTAGATACCGTTTTTACTTCATTGCTACACATGTTGATCACAGGAACTGAAATAAAAATAGGAAAATATTAAACTGATTTGTATATATTGCTTTACACTCGTGCCAAAGTGTGTTAATTTTCCTTAGTATAAAAACATTGTTAGGAGACAAACTAACATGTAAAACCCAATTATAGTTGTATCTCTTTTAATTTGGTTATTAAAGAACAACATAGAACCCAGTGGTCACTGGTATTTTCTCTAACGGATACATTCAAGAATACCGTGACATTTTAAGAAAGTAATATCGGCTCAACTAATTGAATTTTTATCATAAACACGTCTAATGTACACTATTTAAGGACAAACATTTTAAAACTGACAAACATTTTAAAACGTGTCAAAGATGAACGTTTGTCTGCTTCTTTTTTTTCCATAGTATTCGTATATTTGGATATTGCCCCAAACGGTTGGATCATAGCGGACTTCACAGTCCTATTTTATTTGGGGGGGGGGGGGGGGTATGGCCGAATGGTTAGCACGTGCGCGCTGTATCATATGGTCTGCCATTGATTCAATTGGCGTTGTTTCGAATCCCCAGTTGTACGTGACAAGGAGTAGGGTCGCCTGTCCAACCTCGTGGGTTTTCTCCGGGTCCCCCGGCTTCCTCCCACGCGCAAGAGAATTATTGAAATTAAATAGAACCATGTGTTAGTCCCGAAATGACCTAGTTTGTGTCGAGTGGACGTTAAACCCATCTCTCTCTCTCTCTCTCTCTCGCTCTCTCTCTCTCTCTCTCTCAAACACACACCCTCTCTCTCTCCCTATTTTATTTGAAATAATATCGCTTGATCGCGGAACTGTTGTTGATATGGATTCTGGTGTATTGATCAATAATATATATTTGTCGATATTACTATTATTCTGAAGAGAAAACACCTTTGCATGGAAGTATGTTTCCAGAAAAGTGTGTGTATTTGTGAAGATGAATATTGTAATGTCATATTTACCTCCGTTACTTGGACACCTCTTTCCTAAGGCTAACACTAAAACTAGTAACATAATACATTGTTAAATATATTATATTATGATACAACAGATGAAATCATACTGAACAAATGAGGGTAGTAGGACATGTCCTATATTTTCACCCTCACTGTTAATTTATCAAGTATAGTGTAATCGTCATTGAGACAGAGAAAAGATTGTCTCTAAATAAGTCAACATATAAGGTAGTGAGAATGTATATGTGAGTTACCTTGAGATGTTACTGATATAAACAATAACAATAACACAGTTTGGTAAAAATATAAAGGTTTTCTTGCTTAGAGATGAAATAAAATATGTTATTCACGACAAAACGACAAATGTTCTATTTATTTTATGATTTTACAATCATTTTAGGTAAAAACAACATGGACTACTGCTAGCCAGTGGAATAACACTTTTATTTCACTGATAAAACGCGGTATTCCACTACTGATCATAAAATAAATGTAGTTTCTCTTACCTGATATTGATGTAAACAATAAGAACAAATTCGGGTAAGCAGTCGTATGCATACCTGCTTTCTATCATTTAAACCAGGAAGGAAAATACCTCTAGCTACCATTGTCACCTACCCATTTCTATAACAGGAGTTCGCATAGTTTTCAATAAAAATATTGTAAGTGACAAAGCTCTGACTGGGGACAATAGTTACAATATTTTGTGTCCAGGGGCAGATTAAGTATCGGCCGCCGGAGGGTCCGTCCTTAGAAAAGTTTGAACATTACTTTGCCGTAGATGAGATTTAGAGCACTTTCCTTTGGAACCGAAGATTTCGTTGCCCAAATCTAGCGAAATCTCAGGCAATTGGATAAGACGGGCATACGTCATGCAGTTTACTATGACGGGCCATTTTGCCCGGACAGCGGCGTTTCCGCCTTCTCTACTTTGAAACACGGGTGTTGGTTTTGAAAGTTCCTCGACATTTCCTGGAGGTTTCCACATTTGTCATGGTGCAGGAAGGGGGGTGGGGTCTAGCGCGTCTAGTCTTTCGAAAGGGTAAGATAAACCAAGGCGTGCACGTAAAAGAAACCCTGACTATTGGAATTGGCCGCAGCGCCGCTGTCCGGGCAAAGTTTCACACAATACAGCAAACGTCATTAACCTGGTTGGTGGAGAATAGTAAGAAATTAACCGCCATGTTACGGACGTATTGTATACGGTAAGTATCTGCCATTTTCGTGTGGCAAAGCAGAGGTACACATTTTAAAACGAATATGGGAAGCTTCTTCAAACCATACATTTATTTGGCACGGCTTTCCTGAACTCATTACTAATACGTACGTACTTTCAATACCGATGGAGTATTCTATTTGGAAAGTGGTTCTACAATGGTTAATCACCCACTGATATCAGCATCCACTCATCATAGCCAACTCAAACGAATATCCAGACACCGAATTCAGCGCATGGCGCGTTTTAAAAGAAACTTGGTCTATGTGCACTAATATATGATGGGTGACGTGTGGCTCTTGACCTTACTACTAGACACAGACACAGGGGACCTTGCCATGAAGTCAATGGTCCCCTTTTCTTGGACCTCTCGGCAATTTTGTTGTACTGGTGGGGGGGGGGGCTTACTAGTAAATGTTAAACCCTTGACATATCTTGGTCTGTAATATATTTTTTGAACATTCCGATGACTTTAATCTTCATAACCACAAAGACACCCAATATCACAATCATATACAAATACTGAAACGGGTTGGCCATTTCGATTTTGCGATTTTGGTTGGGCTGGTCAAAGGAATGTGTAGACAGAGACGACATTTTTTCAATCATAAACTGGACTCAGACTAGCAATTATTTGCCCATTGACGTCAATGTTAAATGGCTGTAACATCACAGACTGTAGCTTTTTACTCAACGTTCCGTTGGTTCCAATCTTTATAGGCACAATGGGGACAACATTTGGCAATCTCCTCATCATAATTTTATAGGGGGTTGACCATTTAGATTTTTTGCTACGCGGATTTGAAGTTGAATGGGGTGAAAATCTCACTTCCGACACAATGATTGCTCTGCAGAAGGACACTTTACACCACCTATCCCTCCGCTGTAATATCATCAGTATGACCCAAAACTGCTATGAAATTGCAAATTTGATCCCTTTTCTCCAATTCTAGACCAAAAGTCAACCCAAAAATGCAGGAAGAGGGGAGAAAAAAATTAAGGGAAAAATTGTCTATTTATAACTCGCACTACATTCCTAGTCTTAGTCCAACTACGTTTTCCAGAGTTGTGTCCCCTACTATACGATCCGTTATAAGATTAAATTCACTACTTGCTATTGAAGGTCCACGTTCAATCCCGGTGATGACGGAGAGAATGTCTTAGGATTTTCAGGTCACACGTCATATACCACTGGCAAGAGGAAACCATGCTGGAAAATCTCTAGGAACTTTCCCTACCGGAATCGAACCCAGCTCCAGTAGCGTTCGATATTCTTAACACTGTATACTTATATTTGACGGTGGGGAGGGGTGGGGGGAATTCACCTTATACTATTTATCTGGTGAAGAAGCAATATATATTTTTTAAAACTAATAATATAGTTTTATTTTCAGATGAACGTCATATACAATTTACATAAATTTCAGCACATTAATAATAATAATAATAATAATAATAATAAAAGCAAAATATTTTTATATTTGTAGCATCAGCATGATTTCTAATAATTTTTAATGTTATAAACAAGAACATGTACATCAATAGTCAATGTCGGTTTATATTTGAAAAAGTAAGTAAGTCATTATACGACAGAAATATTAATTATCTGATGAAGACAAGTAAATCTCTCTGTTATTTTAAAATCCAAATAAGACCGATATCCCAATTAGCGTATGTCTGGAAACTTTTGGCTATTGGGAAAAGTAAACATTCCCTGTTTAGGTTGGACCATGGACCCGTTCACTTAAAGTTCAATAGGGCTGAATAGTAAACTGGTCGAGCTACGTGTGAACACGTCCTATGTGTACTTTATGAAACCAAATGTCGTGTTTGACTGGTGTGCCCGGTTTGGATGGGTATTTGGTGTTGGAATTTTAGCGGGTAAAATGGTGGGCCACTAACATAATCGTTCACGGACAACAATTGGGCCTGATGAAAATGCTCTAGCAGGGAATTACATTACAATGAAGCAACGGAATAAACCAAAATATGTATGATACGTAAATGGTGAAAATAGATATCTTGTCACTCGGGTCCCGTACTAAAGTATTCGACGAATCTTACATCTGGATGACAGATACTGCCAGAACGAATGCATACGTCCCAATTTCACTAAAAAAATTATGAATGATAACTATGAAAAGTTTAACGTTGCAGCTATTGTTCTCCACACCGATATTATACTTGACGACTTTATTTCTCCATAAAAATAGGTACTCGACTTCAGTCAAAGACGCATCTACAAAGGAAATCCTGATTTATCGGATTAAATATTTGGAAGTCATGTTGGCAATTGATAGTCTTCGTTAAATATTCTATTCACGACTTTCTTTTCGCGCGCCTATATTTGTTTTCGAGATCTGTCGAACGTATTAAAGCGGATCAGGAACAACTCTTTCATTATCAATAAGTCAATTGGTAGAAGATAACTTGTAATTTTTCCTTTCAGACTTAGAATAGAAGTTATATGAAGGCAGTTATAGATGTTTAGAATTTTAATAAAAGAAATATTCATCTATCTGATTAAGGGCGTATGTTACACATGCGATTATTTAAATCAATTTGATGACCGATAATACATTATTTATTCAGACACAGTTGTGGATGTTTCATAAATAAAAGTGAAAAAGAAGCCCCATTAAGTTCTGAAAATGGACCACAAAACTTTAAGGGTAGAAAAGGGTAGGTTAATTTTCATTTTACTGCAACCTAAGAAATATTACATTATTAAATCCTATAAAACATATATTGTTACAATTGAATGCAAATAAAATATAAGTAACCAAAACTAACATCTTAAACATGCAGTGCCGATATGTGTAACCGATATTCATGACCATTGAACACACTGGTAATTGAGTGCTTTGGATGATCTATACCACATTCTGGGATTATTAATTGGGCCACAATATAATAATTTTAGCACGACACGGGTCGCATATAGATGAGTGATAGCAAAATTAGTTCAAAGTTGGTTTGAAGTATCGTTTTCACAATCTGAATGATCTAGTATTGGTTTATCGACAATACAATTTTCATAGATATGTCTGACAAGGTTTGTTCGAAGAGAAACAAAATTGAAAGTTGCTAGGGTTGAGCAGAGGATTTCATTTGTGTTTCCAGTGATTGCTCATCAACTTATAATTATACCCCCCCCCCCGCCCTCTCTATATGAGATATTAACCATTGTTTTATTTCCGAACAAATACACTCTGCCCCGCACTAAATGGAACGAAATATTATCTCGGGGTTACCACCCTTTAGCAATTAGAAGTAGTCCACTGGAAATGCACTGCAGCAATATAAGATTGCAAGATTGTATCATTATCAAATAATGTCAGTCATATTATTGTCTGGCAAACTATATACAGTATTATGAACAGGGTCTCATGGGGCCATGAGTTACAACAAGCTTATTGTTGTCAAAGCTTATGGGGGACATTTAAATTCATGATCTATGCTGCTGATTGTTTCAAATTAAGATATTAGCAATCGGTTTATATTCACGGTCTGTTGCTGTTAATTGTTTTACAGTAAGGTGTTGATAATCTGGATGTTTATTAGTTCATCATCTGAAGTACTATTAATATTTTCATTGGTTTAATCCGCAAACCTCGGTTGAGATGACGAACAACTTTCTGCTGAGTGAAGACTCCCATAAACATGATCTGTGGAGGCTTGTTGATTTGAAGTAAGACGTTCATAATCTGAATGGTTATGTGTTGGTTCGTTTGAAGTAAGATTTTCATAATGTTGATGGTTTAGTATTTGTTCACCTGGATCAGGGTTTATATTTGTTGGGCCAATGGGTCTAGATTGATTTTCATAAGTTGGTGGAGAAGAAAGACTGTGATTTGTTTCTGTTTCATCTGTGAATGTTGGCTGATTTGAAGCAAGATCTTCATCAGTAGAGAATGCTTTGTTAGTCGAACGATTTTCACAAACTTCAGCGGTAGATGCCGCGGGTTGGTTAGAAGAAAGATTAGTTTGAAGACTTTGATACGTCATGTCCGCAGGATTGATATTATTTTGTAGATCTAAAGAAGAGTAATTTGTGTCCTCGTCTGGTATTTTAGCTCTATAACATCTCCTACGAGAAAAAAATATTTATTAAATACACTACGATATTTAAATGTGTCTAAACGACAATGTTCATTAAATGGTAACTAATCAATTGATGCAGATATCTATTTTATAACAACGAAAAATTCGAAAAGCAATACGAAGAATGAATAATTATATTTTATTAATAATCTTAATATACCAAACTAATATAGCGAGTAAAACACCGCCAATAACCAATATAACACCTAATACTCCACCAATAATAGCTCCAACTGTAAAATATTATAGAAAATGGGAAAATACACTATACGTAATAAAATGTAACTATCTATTTACAAACAAGTAGTCCAACAAATGCGGCATTGGCGATTTTCTTGCAGCGAAACAGTGGTTAGCATGCAACTGGTCATTTGTAATAAAATCATATAAGAGTTTAATCTAGCTGGGCAACCCGCACACTTGTATACTTTGATTTATGTCAAATCAAATCTTAAATTCGTCAACGTTAGAGCACGGGAATGGGGTTAATAACAGGGGTAATAAGTTCACGTTTAGTCAACGTCCTCAAGCGAACCGAATTGCAACAAATCTTGATGGCTTTGAATTTTGATTAGTCTGATCCACATATTTTTGTCACGTTTAATGAGATGGAGCTTAACTTTGGCCATTTCGTGACAATTATGCTTGGAAAATGGCAATAATAATGTACAATACTGGACTCAAATGTCTAGAGTGAATTGAATGGACATAAAAAAAATCAATTCCAACTATTACTGATTGGATTCGGTATGAAAAGAATGAAACAAAATAGATGCGTAACTTACGATTTTTCACCCTAGGAACCGAGCTAAATCGGGTTCGTACCCTGTAGACTCTAAACCTCGGGTTGAAACGAATGCCCCAATTAGCTGAGAGGAGTGACGGATGCCGTACATGGGATAGACAGGGCCCGTGAGGGGTCGGAGGTATGCCGAGTAATGTTTTGGTTTTTTTTAAATTGTGGCGTTTTTAGGATTAGAAACGGATTATGTCAGTCTACATGTTTGGAAAAATAGGTGAGTTAAAAACTATAAGCTACCTGCCCGGACCTTCGCGCCCAGGTCTGTCCTCGTTCCGCTTGAGGCCCCCGTCACCGTAAGGGTACCCGGGCCCCCTACCGTTTGAATCCAGTCCAACATGATTTTGGGTATTGATTAAAATAAACGAAAAGTTTATGTGATATTTTGCGTCTGATGGTCACGGGTTTTGTTTTTCCATTTTGCTTGCTTAAAATTTCCTGTCAATCGCTTGTACATCTGCATGATTATTATTATATCACTAAAATTAAAACGTAGAACATGTATCTGGTATGTCATATGTTGTGTTAAATCTCAGTTTCTGTGTTTAAACAAAGTGACCACCAGTTACCCCAGATATACGCCAAAAATAACGCTAGAGACCATGTACCACGTATCTTTCAAAAAAAAAAAAAATGTTCAAGCCCGGGTGGACAGAACCACACCCCTCTTTTCGCCGAGTTGCTTGTCCCAGGGCCCGGAAGGCCCTGTGGCGGGCCCTGGGAACAGGGTGAAACGTAATCTTTCTAGACTACATAATACCACGGTTTTTTGATGAGTACACATAGACAAAGACAAAGAAAATTATGGTATATTTATATACTTATTGTCCGAAAAGATGCACAACCTGAAAATAAATATTCTAAACGTAACATCTATACCTGTGCAAGATTGTCCCTTGTGATAAGATACCATCATTATAAATGTTTTGATGTATATGTATGTATATTGGCTTACCTTGTGTTTCTTGTGCATTGCTGCCTGTCTGGGTTCCACCTATAGGAGAGGGCGTTTTATTACCCTGAACTATAGTTGAGATGGAAGTAATCGATGATGTCAACATTGGTGCATTGGTATCTCTAGTGGTTACTGGTGAGACATAGGGTGTCTGGGTTCCACCTATAGGAGAGGGCGTTTTATTACCCTGAACTATAGTTGAGATGGAAGTAATCGATGATGTCAACATTGGTGCATTGGTATCTCTAGTGGTTACTGGTGAGACATAGGGTGTGGTTACTGTCGGTGGTGACTGATTGTTGGGTAATGAACAGGATATAGTAAAATAATTACCAGCAGCTGAAAATTAACAATTTTTTCAGAGCTCCTGTCTATTACATTATATATTGAATATAGATTCGAAATACAATGTTAGTGTTCGGATAGTTTGTATATTGTAAATGTAAGATTTCTGGAATCACCATATTCATGATATTATTATTAATTTAGACATAACAAACATTACAAAATATCCAATCACAAAACCCGCGGGCAATTCTACCACATGAAATCGTCTGACTCGTATTGCCAGCATAACGATTTTGTGTACAGATGAATATATGAAATGAAATGATACGGGATTTAACGTCCTACTGTTCTGCTCCGAACTAGGCTAATGAAGACGGGCATACGCCATGAAGTGTGTTATGAGGGAAATTGTGCCCGGACAGAGGCACTACGGCCTATTCTTATATCAAATTCCAACTGCCAAGGGATCTTTAACGTGCACGCCAATGTGCACACGGGCCTCGGTTTTTCGTATCATCCGAACGACTAGACAGCTGTCTTTGTCAGGCCCTCCGTCCTGCATCACTGCACTGTTAAAAATAAATGTAAAATTACAGTGAAAAATATGTAATTTATTTAACATAACGCGGTTAAAATACCACTGCATGTTTTTATACTTTAAATTTACTGTATTAGTGTGGTAACATGGGATAACCGTAAAAAATTGGTAAATTAACAATAAAATTATAGTTTTACAAGTTAGAACTGTATTTTTATTACATGTAATCTGTAATAACACCACTGCATGTTTTTATACTATAATTTTACTGTATTAGTGAGGTAACATGGGATTACTGTAAGAGAAAATGGTAATTTAACAATACAAGTGTAGTTTTACAAGTTAGAACTGTATTTTTATTACGTGTATCTGTATTGATACAGCTATGTTGGTTAAAAGTACATGTATGTTGTATTTTAACTGTTTATGGAGTAATTCTACTATTCAAACTTGTTTAAATACGGGATATATATGTGTACAATTTACAGGAAACGTATAATTGTACATCTCTTTAGAACTTTAACATTGATAGACCTTTGAAGGCTTTATTACTTTTCGTCTATAGTCCACTTATGAGGGGGTCACAAGGGCTAAGTGGGTAAGACGTTGGCTCGCTAGCCTGGAGGTTGGGTATTCGATCCCTGCATTCCCTCTTTGGCCACATGTAATATTACATCAAACGTAATATAGAAATACAACCATATGTCAGTTTACATTATGTGAGCTGTATATTAAAAGAAATGTCATTTGAAATAGTATTTTTACAACAAATTGTAAATTTACTGTCAAATGGTGTTCAAATCAGTTATTTCCCTTCGACCACATATCGAATTTTGTGCGAAATATTTACTGTTATGTCAGTAAGATTAGCCTATTTTAGAGAAATAGGTTATTTAAAATCTGAATGCACCTAACTGGCGTATGAACACAGTGATATGCCATACATAGGGTTGTGTGGAACATTTTGTTTCGTGTCATGTCTCCCACACTTCCCATTGTAAGAAGCAGAACAGTAGGACGTTAAACGTCATTTTATTTAATTCTTTCCATTATCGAATGATGTTTTGCATGCTCGGCTGAAAGGTCCGCAAAACCTTTAAGTGTTTGCCAGGATCGAACCTAGGGCTACTTAGCCGAGTGGGGAAAAACACATTTCCTATAAAAATGTCACCTTTTCAAAGTATATTTCAAGTAAATATACACTTTAAATTGTATTTTAACCGTAAAATGACTGGCAGAAAGTTGCCAGTAAAATCGCTGTATTTTAACACTGGCTTGTAAATGTACCCCTAAGCGGTAGATTTATATTTACAAACACCACGTAAATTTATAATGAGTGTAAAATAACTCTGAGGTAAATTTACTACCACAGTGTAAATTTACAGTGGGTGTAAGATAACTTTGAGGTAAATTTACAACCACAGTGTAAATTTACAAGCACTATGTAAATTTACATCGAAGTTATTTTACACTCACTGTAAATTTACATGGTGTTTGTAAATCTAAATCTACCGCTTAGGTGTAAATTTACAAGTCAATGTTAAAATACAATCATTTTACTGGCAGAAATTTGCCAGTAAATTTACGGTAAAAATACACAAAAATTATTTACAGTGTGACAAGGGGGAACCACGCCGTAAAATCTTCATGAACTTTCTTTTCCAATGCAGGGACCGAACACCCGACCTCCAGGCTAGCTACCGTGATCCCCAAAAAATGAATAGAAATTAGTATAATTTAATGTACAATCATCTTACGAATTCCTCAGACAATTGCCCACATATATAATATACACATTTCACATCCTTAATATTTTATACTCAGTGCAATATTTAACAATATTATGACGTCTTACATCAATGATGTATAATCAACATAATACGATATGATTGAATGTTGTATAACGTTTGTTATTGTATTAAACTGATTTAAAAATACAAACTAAAGTTACAACTAATTTGATAGATATAGCAAGTTAAGCATAATTATAGAGAACAATATATGAAAATTAAACCCCACCTCTACATCTGAGCTTTAAATAACTTTTCCCGTATAAGTAAACTAGTTATTGCAATAGTTATAAATATGATGTAAATATTTCTTTACATGTATATATTTACTAATATAAAAAAGTACCTGTTTCAATATTAACACATCTGGTAACATTTCGATCACCCTGACCTAGTTCTTTATATAATAATATATCTACTGTTTCTGTTAATTGAAATTGTATTAAAGGTATTCGGTGTGTACAATCATATATCTCTGTTAAACTTCCATCTGTCACAGTTAAACTATAATAACACCAGTTGTTTTGGTTTGGATATAAAGGAGTGAAGGTAACAGGGTAAGTCTGTCCTGTATCTGTACCAGGTTTAATTAACTGTAGTATACAGGAACAGTTGTTGATATTATCTGCAGGTTTTATATTTATATCTAAATATAATGTAGATCCCGTCTTTACTTCATTACTACACATGTTGACTAAAGGAACTGAAATAAGAAAAAAGAAAACATTTTATGACTAAACTGATTTGTATTTTATTGGTTTCCATTATGCCAAAGCGTAAAACAGAAAACATGGCAATCTTCCGAGGACTAACCCATGTCACAAGGATATATTTTTAAGTAGCCTTGTTTGTCACGTGACTTGATTACGAGAGAATCCATATTTAGTTTGTATTTGTTGTTAGTCGCTGTCCATTTGGAAGACTAGGCAAATTCTTGAATTATCCCCTACCAACTTCTTTTCTCGCCTTTTAAGGTCTATTCTACAATTATAGTAGCATAGTGTCTCATACGCATTTAGTGATCATGTTGGATGTGTTAATAATGTCTTTAAAAAATAACCAGAGACACTTATTGTGGATATCGGCCAAAATAATTGGGTCGTAGTGGAGATCACCATCCTATCCGTAAGGTGCTATAACTAAGATTGAACTCAGAATTGGAATTGGTGCTACTGTTATTACACTTATTTATCAAAGGATCGTTCTAGACATTAGTGTTTATATTTGTGAAAATGGAATATTGCAATGTTATATTTACCTGCAGCACTTGGACACCTGTATCCTATAACCAACAACAAAGTAAATAAATACACTGCTAAATATATTATGACATAACAAATGGAATAATACTAAACCAATTATCAAATAACTTTAAACGAGAGTAGCATACTAGTAACCCTATGCTTTCACGAATTTTAACCCACAGTTAATTAAACATACATTATGCAATTTGCAAGAGCTAAATCTGCCTATAAATTGCAGGTCTTTCTTTAGGCCTGAAATGTTATCTAAATTATTAATTAGACATTAATTAACTTATTGAGAAAATAATCAACTCTCGATGGCATCGCTAGTCTGTGATATTTACTGGATTAGAACCCGGTCTGTTGCTTCTGATTAATTCAAAAAATGGATTATCGAGACTGTTTTTTATTGTACCAACCATAGTAATGATGATCTAGGCTAGGCTCAAAATTCAATCGCTAAATATTCGGTTCAGGGTGGATCAAATTGACTGAAATTTTCAGCAAATTGCCTTTACATTATCTAGCGTTTAACTATTATAGTAAGAACTACCAGCTCTTTATCTAATCTCCCATAATGTATCTTTAATAAATCAAATATAGTTTATAGTCAGTTGTCATATTTTACTGTTTATTTCTCATCTCCATGTTATCGTTGTGAGACGAAAAAATGGTTATTGCCTTCTTAATAAATCATGTATATATAAGATTGTGTAAATGTATACGATTTATCTTACCTGACGATAATTCTTATATAAAGAATAAGAACACAGTTTTCTAGGTAATTATATCTTGCTGTTATATAGCCTACTAAATAAGTCGTATACACATAATAGTGTGTGAATTACCTTACCTGAAGATAATGCTAATATAAAATATACAAAGATCGTAGTTTGGTAAACAGCCATGTTTATGTTTTGTTATTTTATTGAAATGTCATAACATAATGTACTGTGAAATAAACCAGGAAGGCAAATACCTGTAGCTATTTATAGTCTATCATCATCACTTACCAGTATTATAACACGAGTTAATTATATAGTTATATCAGTGGGTGCACTTTTACCTTTAAAAACAACTTTTATTTTAATTTAAACGACTATTGTCAATTATATAAAATTATGGTTTCGTATGTTTATAATTGTGTTTGTAAAGTTTGGGGTTTTCATAACGACACATCAATTGATAAAGTGACCGAATGAGATATGTTTTACAAGTAGGTATAAATTGCACCGTCGCTGCCATGTTAGGTGAAGGGTGAATTAAGAATGTGTCAACCTTTAATTCTCCGTTAAATAAGATTAATGAGACATTGGTACAAAATATTGTACAATAAGACCTCATTATACTATTCTATATCCGTTAAATGGTTCTCTAAATTGGGCAGCGGAATTTCAATACACTTCAATAATGTGGTGTTGCCCGTATATATGTGATCAACAAGACGCTTTTGATGTATCTAATATATCACAAAGAGAACTTCGTATAAAAGAAACATATTACCAGGAATATTATAATATGTCAATGTTATAAATTACATAAAACTAACCAGGAACCTGAAGGTTACATTAAATCGAATATTCAATTAAAATATAAACTTTAGTATTTGTCATTTTCGTTGTGGTCTTCTCTAACTTAATATTGAAATCAGGATAAACATGTATAACAAACCCGAAAGAGATTAAAAATTTTAAATGTTGTAATAATATGAGAGCTGTTGAAGATAAATTCCACTTTATGCTGTGCTGTCCCGCCTAAGTCTCACCGTAGAAGATATTAACAGCGTTATTATTGGTATTTCCCATTATTTCAAATTCTAACAACGATGATAAATCATGTATTGTTATCGACTTTTCTTTAATTTACAATGCATATTATTTATATATGTTCTTGGTTATAACAACATCTTGTTTCGCCTGTAATAAAGTTTAAGTTCAATACAAATTTGTGTATTGTCAACCAAAGATGCATTATGTAAGAGTTATGTCTGTCTATTTACATGTGCTTTTCTGGCTTCAAATGTTATATAAATTAATTATTTAGATATACATTAACATGACAATTCCATAATAAACTGTATAGATCAGATGGCCGTGATATTAATGGGTTTGAACATTTAGCTTAGAATAAATTATATTTTATGAAATTTTCAGTATAATATTAATTTTTCATTATCTATTTATATCTATTATAGTAAGAATGGCAAGCTAAACCTTACGTACGTCTTGGCACTGAAAACTTCAAATCTGAATTCAGCCATGGTTCATTAAGTTGAGACAAACTCTTGGCTGACGAAAATGCTTAAAATATTTTGTGTTCGTGGTTCGATGATGTGACCCTATTATAACATATAAAACCTGTTTGTCATAATTTGCATCACACTTCGTAACAAATTTGTTATTTGATACGTCCCACCCCTCACTAGTTCATTTAAACGGAGGTTGCTATTAGCACATCTCTGTCTGTGGCTCGGTATGTAGGACGCTGGCTCGCTGTTTGCCGATGAGGCTCCCCCGGATTTTCCGGGGTGGTTTTCCTTGTCAGTGGTGCAGGGCGAAGGGCCTGGAAAGTAACGGCGTATAGTCGTTGGGCTGGAACGAAATATCGAGATCCCAGTTATAGACCGTAGCCGAGCTGTCCGCGGTCAAATGTCCCTCAGAGCACACCGCATGGCGTATGCCCGTCTTCATTAGCGCGGATGGTGCAGAGCAGTGGGACGTTAAACCCCATTTCATATGTTTGGGTTACAATCTTGATAATCAGAAACTGATGAAATATATTACACATACAATCTAAATCAAATTTAGGATAATAATCCAGTAAGTCATCAGAGGCCAGTTCTCCATTCACATAATGTACCCGATACCAAGAGCGCTTGTGTCGTGGAAAATTTCTTTTAAAAGTAACATTAGGTTGAGGTTAAATATTACACCTAAAGAGAGAGCGAGAGCGAAATAGAGAGAGAGAGAGAGAAATGGAGTTTAACGCCCACAAAGGCTGCCAGCAGAGTCTTGATACAATTTGTTGACATATTCAATACTTCATAAAAGGAAGTAAATACTGACGTAATATTTCTGCTACTAAAAAGTAAATAGATCATATTTCTATTAAAGAGGTCGTAAAACCGGTTTATATGAAAATTCAATCTAATACTTGTTTAAAGAATAATAGTGAAAGTCACCATGCAATATTTAACTCGGGTTATGTCCCCTATACTACACTTACGTAGTGAGTTAAAGGCAAAATCTTTTTTTTTTTCGAAACAAACGGGTATATTTTCCAATGGTAATCATTTCTTTTACAATTATTGTAACATAGACTGGGAAATAGTTGCACTAATATTTACATGAGTAAAGAGCTGCCATCTGGATCCACTTGTAATGTTAATATAAATTTTAAAAAAAACACCCGGTAATCCAAAACATTGTGGTAATTGCAGACCTTTTTCGTGTATTAGCATTTGCTAAAAGTTTAGAAAAAAAATGTATACCATCATGTTTCAAACTTCCATCAGACATACTCCAATCACATTAAATCTTCAACTTATTATTTGATTCATACAAACGAATCTGTAATTGTCAGTGCTACCTTATATTAAAATGATCTCTTTATTGCCGACAAGACAAAACTGCTATAAGGGTATATTTCAAACACAAGCATTTGAGGTTGACTTTGCCACATGGATTTAATTTGATAGACATAGGCTTGTGGACGTTCTCCTCTATATAAAGTTCCATTGAACCATCTACTACAAAAAAACAAAAACAAAAAAAAACTGCCATAAAGATGTGTTTAAAGAAGTATTTGAGGTTGGCTTTTCGAGATGGGCGTATTTTTATAGACATAGACTTGTGATCTTTCTCAGATCTAGATATTAAATAAAAATTTATTGAAAGGACTAAAATGCTTCCTCTTGTCGCCTACTATATGGGATGAATGACCAATAAGCTTCATAACAAGCTAGAATTGTTACAACTGGACGCACTCCAGTCTATACCAGCCACAAGATGATGTATTTTATCAACTGACCACGACATCCATACCTTTATGGTTTAATGTAAACAGGTGTAATTGACCCGAGTTATTCTGAGTGACATCACTTTTTCCCGTTCATTAATATCTGAAGATACCTATAGAGGGCAGACAGCTAGGTTAAATGATATAATGTATGTCAGAATGATGTTAAGTGGTGAGTATTTTTACCTGGATGTATTTTTTATTTATTTATGCATTTATCTACCGTAAACAAAGAAGTACTTGTACTTTAATATATATTTATGCATTCTTTGTAATACAGTAGAAATGTAATGTAGACCCATGTCTGTAGGCCAATCCTTTTCTGATACTATAATACTTTAAGCTCAACTGCAGGATTTTAAAAAAAAATGTTTCTCCCAATGAGACCTTAACCCTTGTCGGTTCACGTGGAGTCTCCGTGGACCCCATGCACATGTTTTATAGTGTTTTGTAACAACTACTGGGTACAACTTTCTGAAATTTAGTGACTTTGTCTCCAATACATTTTTACACGTAGCAATAAGATCGGTATTCATATGCTTCTGACATGCAGAGTTATGTCACATGCAAATCAGGCCCAACGCTTGAAGGGAACAAGGGATCCAATCGGACCCCTAACTTACAACTCATAGTAGTGATTTTGCTAATGTGTTTGCTGCCTGAAACCATATTGCGTATGCCAGAGTATTCCCTCTTTTAGCATCTGCATGTTAGAAATACCAAACATTAAATGATGAATTCCAAATATTGAATGGTTTTTGTATCAAGCGTGAATTGCCATTTAACCTCTTTATCACATAGTACACAAAGTAGCAATTTGGTGAGAGTTATTAAATCTTTTCCATATGCCACTAAAATGTTTTTGGATAATAATTTAGTTGTTTTTCAGATGTCAAATATGAATGCAAATAAAAACCAAACCGCTGCCTTTTAATTCAAATATATCTGTACGTAAAAACTTGAATTATAACTGGGGTCCATATGGACCCCATGATACCTGCTATGTGATTCTCACAACGTGAACCCACAAGGGTTAATTTCGAAACTTTAACGGAATAACCGAAGCTGATGGTAACTCCAATGAGGCCACGGGATAGCTTCTTACATTTAGACTGAAACTTTTGTCTTTTATGGTTTAAAGTAGATCTGTCGTATCAACTGTCGACAGACTTATATATTTCCAAATGCATGTTTTGATAGCAGGTATGATTTGTTTAGCCTTTGGCGGAGGCACAGTATTTAGTTTTGTATAAACAGAAAACAACTCATGCAGGGAAGAACGCTTACGTCGGGAATTCTGGTGCACCACATTCGATTACTAACGAAACTTGATTTAGTGTGCACGAGCCTTTACTGATTACGAATCTTCAATATAGCAGAAAAACTTCCGTCTACCCCTTTCTCTAAATACAAGTGGGGAGTTTACATTGCTATGGTTCCACGTAGTTACAAATTGGGACGAAAAACCGAGGCCCACCTGTGTACACAAACTTGTAAATAACAGAGCTATAGACGGAAACGTCGCTGTCCTGATAAAATTGTCTCAAAATAACAGAAATATTGTGTTGACGAGACATTAAACCACATGCAATTCATGTTTAGTACTTGATGCAGGATATATTTAATCCTTCTGGAATACCTGATATCACTTCTCATTCACATTGCTAACTAATTTCGATGTATCATTTCTGTATGAGGACCGACGATGGCTAGGTGAGTGGGACGTTGGTTCGCTAACTTGGAGTTCGCGTGTTCGATCCCTGCGTTGACCAAAAAAGTTTATCGTGATTTTGTCGGCGTGGTTCCCTCTTGTCATTGGTGCAGGACAGAGGGACAACATGTAGTCGTTCAGATGAGACGTAAAACCAGGGTCCCGTGTACAATTGGCGTACACGATAAAGATCCCTTGGCAGATGGAATTCGAAAAAGGAGTAGGTCGCAGTGCCGCAGTCCAGGCAAAATTTCCCTCATAGCACACTGTATAGCGTAAGCCTGTCTTCAATAGCACATCGGAGCAGAACAGTAGAACGTTAAACCCCGTTTCGTTTCATTTCCATTTCAATATTTAATAAAACAATTTATATATTTATTAGGAAGTATAAAGTCAACGTTGTTTTAATTATTTATTCTTTATAACGTCAACGTTGTTTTAATTATTTATTCTTTATGTACCTTGAAACAGCTACCGTACGTCAATAACTAATTCAGAATCCATTTGCATCAGGAGTAGGTAACTCCTACATATTACGTGTAATCACTATTAATTATTCGAAAAAAATCGTCACAATTTGTCGGGGTGCATATTTCATTTATTTGTGTTTGTGTCATATGTGTCTTGATTGTTTTATTTAGATAATATTGCCCAAAAAAATAAAATGCATAATTTATCTTATCCTTGCTTCTCCGAAATATTTACATAATTATTGATAAAAGTGTGTAATGAAAGAAATGTGTGCGATGTAAGAAAGCTTGTCAAGTTTTATTAAAATTAGACAGTTCTTTCGTTTCGGTTTCGTTTTTCATGCTGTTGACATTTACACTACATTACGGTCATACAAAACCTGTAAGAGGCTTTTGTTTAATTGACCTGACATGAAGGTTTATCAAAAGCTATTGGAAACATGCTTTTTGCCTTGTGTAAGAATGGCTGTGACAATTACAATGTCATTAAACAGAGTAACAACGAACGCAAAAAGAAGTTAGATCTACGGATAGTGAATTTGACGAAATAGTTTGTAAGCTCTTCTGACAGTGTTTCTTACATGGATTCAAAGGGAATTAAATTGTTTTTCTAACGCTAAAATTACAATTCACTTAATGTTAAATGCTAAAAAACATGGTCTCTGTTGGTAAAGGTAAAAGATCAAAATTCTCGTTTAGTAAAAGGTAATAAGTTAAAGACGTTTATAAAAACCAAACAATGGAGAGTGGTCTACATTTAAACGCGTACTGTGACATTCAGGGATTAACCACATTCAGTACCACTTGAACAATTGATGTCATGGTAATTTATTAATTATTTGTATATTGATAGAATTATATATTTATACATGATATGTAAATTTATATTTAAACAATTATTATATAATATATTGCAACACCATCAATTGTAGTGTTTATATGAAATATTGTATACTTGTTAGTTTCCGCTCCCTTGTTTGTATCATGTCACTAATATTGAACCACTATCACTACTCTACATGTATACTAAAGTACAACAAAAACGTTTAACCAAGATCAAGAAAAACACAAATATTTAACCACCATCATATGACTATATACCAAATGACAACAAAGAATGTTATCACAATCGAGAAACAGCTTCACTTGTATTTAGTGTCTAAAATATTTCCGAAAACGATAATTTAGCACTTATGGAAACATGTTTAGCCTTATGTTTATTAAACCAGTGATTGTATTCTACATGAATTGTGATTGTGTGTTTATTGTCGAATGCCATAGCTTACCGACAGCACTGTGAAAACATACTCAACTGAATTTGTTGACAAGTTAACACTTGTAATACTATATATGTAACATTATATAATGTGATCCTTTTCAAATCTTACAACTAGACAGAAAAACTAAACATGGCCACCGGTTGTTTGGAAAACCTTCCGGGAATTTGGGGTTACGTGTTTTTCGCTGTTTACGTCTATTATTTCCACTGTAGAAGAATATTTACCCGTAACTCTAACCCAAACATGGTGGCCTTCTTCAAAGCTGACGTCTTTGACATGATCGTCGATTATTTTCTCAATATGAGAAACACCGTTTTACTAATACATAAATACACAATTAAAACAAAAACACTGGCCCTATGTTATTTCTTTCATTCGTTTTTGTTTATTGTTTATAAAGTTTTAAAAATTGTTTACAACATTCAGCTGGATTTCTTGGAATTTGTTCAAAGTGTATAAAGCCCCAAAACTTAATGTCAACGTTAAACAAGTTATTTTAAAAGCATGTACTTTCCTCTGCTTTAAAAGTTAAGTCAAAAGTGGGAAAGTACAATACGCGTTGTGTTTATCACGTAAGGTACGGTGGACTTATTTCCTTTTACATACTGTTCGTGACAATGAAGTGGATTCGAACACTATTCCTTTATCCTAATTAGTAAAATGAAGCGGTCGATTGGGGGAGACGACCAGGTGTTCTACTTGAATCAAGTCTATTACAACGGTATGCCAGTATAACCTATAATAATCATACATGCTAGTGATATGTGGTGGGAATCTATACATATGGCATAAAACGGATATTAAGACACCAAATCCAAAATGCTCCATTTGTTGGTATATACAGTAAGTAGTTCTGATATTTATCAAGTTTCTTAATTAGAAAAAGTGATAATTTTATTAATAATACTTCTGAAGACCTCGCATTGTCATATTAAAATAATAGTTCTAGTCATGTCGTTTTGAAATTGTATTTTGTTAAAAGAGGCAATTTTACTGTGCACATTGCCGTCCCTATATGCTAAAATTATCATTTGATAAATCTGGATTTACATACTATTGTATCGAAGCTGGTCACTACAGAATTTTAAGTTTAATTGGTTCTTATATTTCTCTTTGATCGATGTGTTTTGAAATTTAATGATAAGGCTAGTTCCTCGGTACACTTAATATTAAAAGCATGGGGTCAAGTTCCGCGGTTCACTTAATATTAAAAGTATGTGGTCAAATTCAATCGTTGCACTATTTCAAAGGTAATGTGTGGCGCTGTATTTAGGTTTCGATGTTTAATGTGTTTTGTGAATATTGTGTTATTTTATTTGAATACTGAAGAAATCTGAAACACAAAATGTGAGAAAACCAAACGACATTCACACCATTCTATATTTGTTTTTCTTACAATCGATATTTAATCATTTTCGTGTTTATTTTAGCTGCCATTGTTATCTGTTGTCAATTCTGACGTTTATCCTTGTACGGTGAGTTGGTTTCAAACATTAGTATTGTGAGCATTTTAAAAATATTGAACAATACTGAGTTTAAATTATAACTTTTATATTGAAGTATAACAACAAATTAGCATTAAACCGAGATATTTGGATTATTGCATAATTATCAATTTTTATTCAAATTGACAGTTGAAATGGCAGTTGTACAAAATATTTCCGCAATTCCTCAATCTATATTCTTCTTAATCTGGGACATTTTCTCTATACACGTACCACAAGAAATCAGTGCAGCTAGAGCGATGAATAGGCTTTTAAGTTTATACTACCATCATGGTTTCCACTTCGTGATTTTTTTCCTGCTGAAAGTTTTTTTTCTGTTTATAGACATTTGTGAAAGTCAAATCATGTGGCAAATATCAACACTGAAAAACGCGAACTGTGAGTTTGCCTAAATATATTTGTTTTAGTTTTATGGCTATGTTACGTAGTAACCCTCAAACAAAGTAAAGCATATAAAATTCTATTTCTTTTTATTTTCTTTTAGGTAGCTAAATGTGCACCTGGGTTAATATGTCATGCTGTAGAAGGGACATGTGGTAGGCTCCCCTGTCCACTCTTTGCAAGGTGTATGAGTAAGTGCCATTTTATGTCAAACGTGTATTTAATTTGTATTATATTTTTATAGAAATGCCTAGCGTTGAGAATAGACCTATCTATAATTGAGTTCCCAGTATAATTATTTAACAAGACTATCTATATATACAAGTTCCCAAAGCAGCCTACATTCGCATCTATTTGCTGATTGTCAAATGCCACGAATGAAACCAGTTGTATAAATATGATTAAACGAAAGTCGTATTAATTGTCGCAGTCGAATACATTCAAATTGTTATTAAATAAAACTAAATTTGCCTTCTCCCCGCCCCCCCACCAAGATAACACGAGCATCTCTTTTATTTCAATATGACGGGTTAGCACGTGTGCGCTGTATCATAAGGTCTGTCATTGAGTCTACTGGGGTGGTTTCGATTCCCCGGTTGTACGTGACAAGGAGTAGCGTCGCATGTCCAACCTCGTGGTTTTTTTTCGGGACCTCGGGTTTCAACATAAGATTTGTATGTAATTATCTAAGATGTAGTTAATCCATAAAGTTGTGTTATTATGAATATAAGATTTGTTGATTTTAAGTAATTCCACATTTTATTGTACTGTGATAAATTTAAAGTTTTAATTAACATGAAAGTGTAGATGGGTGAAATGATTTTTATAAATTTATTGAATTCTATTTCACAGATAAAACGTCAGTGTTTGAACCATGTCCATTTGGTAGACCTATATTACAGGTGAATGGTAGACCAATTCATTGTGGACGAGATCCTAGTGGACGTGTTTGCCCCAGGTCTAGCAGATGCATTATAGATCCAACAGACAAATTCGCTGTTTGTTGCTGGAGTAATCACGCAGAAGATGGTAAGCAGAATCCCAACCAAGCATTTAAAATTTGATCTTCATTTTTAAAGATTCTAATGCAGTTTAATTTGTTTATAAATTCGACAAATATTGCTAGAGAGGTTTACTGTGTAGAGAAAATAATGAGTTATCAAACTTGATATTCAAGATAAGTTTACTGTAGTAGAATGAATGAAACGCGTAAGATAGGTTTACTGTAGTGGAATGAATGTAAGCTGTTGATTATCAAAATAAGGTCAGGGGGATAAACCTGTAACTCAATATTTCCTGTAATATTCAAAATGAAAAACCCGAATTAGAATTCAATATTGGTTCATTTTTCGTCGATGTTGATGTTTTATCTCGTTGTTAAAATATAGAAACCCAATGAGTCATGTAGATTATAATTTCGGGTGCCATTTGTAATGAACAAAGAAAAACATCTTATAAGACAATGCGAAAGTAATTAGTAATGTCTGAGTCACAAACGACAAAATAATAATTTTTTACAACCCCCCCCCCCCCAAAAAAAAAAAACCGTGTAGAATGTACTAGACAGGCGCAAACGATTGCCGTTCATTTTGGACTGTTCACGTATTTCATGGAACATATTTGATTAGAAATTAAAATCAATTATTTTGAATTGAATATAAATCACTTTATATACATTCACATATACATGCACAATATGTGGTTTTAGACCCATTTTCGTCCGTTTTAAGGTTCCCAAAGAATAGAGGCATACGCCCTTTAAAGTTACTGTAATGGTATGAAATGGGGTTTAACGTCCTACTGTTCTGCGCCGAATGATCTAACGAAGATGGACAAACGCCATACAGTGTGCTATGAGTGAAATTTTGCCCTGACTTTTATATTAAATCCCAACTGTCAAGGGTCTTTTACGCGCACGCCAATGTGTACACAAGACCTCGGTTTTTCCCATCCACTATCCTGTAGTTGCAATAATGAAACTATTAAGATGTTAATATTCAGATAGAAACATAGAATAGTACAGCTTTGGCTAAGATATCTGAAGCTAAACTGCACTTTTAAAACAAACACGTACATCTGCACTGAATAAAAAACAAAATATATTTTTACTCTTAACAGAAAACCGTAAACCACACATTTTTTCATGTGTTTAGTATAAATGTGGTTTGATTAAGTATGTAAAATGGATATATTGTTAATATATAACTAGTTTCTTTCGGATTTCATGCTGTTTGCTGATTCATAAATATATATCTCATTAAAACTAGAACCAGTGAGCGGGAAACGGGGTTTACTTATTACCGTATTATATTTTAAACGAATTTAAGAAATGAAATGTCGTGACTAGAATGAAATCTTTAGCATTAATTTTAATGATTAAAGTGTCAGGTTTATACCATGCCACGCTTAAAGGTAAACTGGTATTTGAGAGATAGGGGAATGGGGTTTAACGTCCACCCAGCACAGACTATGTTATTTCGTCACTAACATAATATATTACAATCTGATTTCAATAATTCGCTTGCCTCTGTCATGTAGATATCATTTAAGAACATATATAAATAAATTAACAGTCTGGAACTAATTTTATAGAATCGATCATTATCCAACTTAAAAAATCTTTTGCACTCTTCTTTTGCAGATTATCTCGAAAAACCATCTAGTGACGTTTTAGCTTATGACGGTGTGTGTCCTCTTATACCTCCACCATATGCCATGGGAATATGTGTTGAACAATGCAAGAGTGACAATGAATGTCTGGATGGACTCAAGTGTTGTGGTACAGGTTGCGGTCGAATGTGTTTGACTGCTGAAGCACCGAAACCTATATTCACCTGTCCAATGCCTCCTTTAAACCCTTTCGGTTCTTGTATAGATGTTTGTATATTTGAATCGGATTGTCAGCCCAATGAACGTTGTTGTAGCAACGGCTGTGGGCATGTTTGTATGACAGCTCAGGATGCGTCCAAAGCAATGCTTTCCCCTAGATTGAAACAAACAGAACGACAAGGATTCTGCCCACCAGAGAAGACCATTCGGTATATAGAGTGTAGTGAAAAAGAACAGTGCACGAAGGATGACGATTGTTTTGGAATAAGAAAGTGTTGCTATAATGATCAGTGTGGTCATATTTGTTTAAATCCTAAATCCAAACAATTACAAGTTGATCCGTGGTTATACAAGTGGAAAAATAGATGGTTTCAGTGATTTACTACCAGTAGATTACCCCATATATGATGTGTAATATTATTTTTGGGATTAAATGGATACAGTTTTATAGTCATTTTATTAAATGAAATGAAATGGGGTTTAACGTCCCACTCTTCTGCCCCGACTGGGCTAATGAAGACGGGCATACACCATACAGTGTGCTATCAGAGAAATTTTGCTCGGACAGCGGAGCTACGGTCTATTCGTATATTGAATTCCAACTGCCATGGATCTTTTACGTGCACGTCAATGTGTACACGGGACCTCGGTTTTCCGTCCCATCCAAACGACTTAACGACTCTCCTTGTCAGGTCCTCCGTCCTGCACCACTGACACGGGGAAATCACGCCTTAAAATCTGGATGGACTTTCTAGGCCAACGCAGGGATCGAACACGGGACCTCCAGGTTAGCGAACCAACGTTACTCACTGAGACACCGTGGCTCCTTTTATAAAATAACATGTGTCGGGGAATACTGGCATCATGCGATGGGATGTGTCCGATATGCCACATTATTTCTAATGAGAGGAGAGATATCAGCACTAAACTATTCATGGTAGCTATGCTTTTAGTTGCTATATTAGAGATCTTATCAATTAACTCATAGTTTGGCTGTTATTTCCTATTCTTATATATCATAGAAGTATCGTTGACAGTGGGGGTCATAACATGTACTTAAATTGTTTAGGAAACTGGAGAATAGTTAGGCTGTTTGTATGTCCTGTACAAAACTTACAACACACATTATTAAATGCCACTAATTGCGAGTCAAGTCATCGTACTCAACCATATAATCTATCTATCTCTCTTTTCTAAAATGCAAAATGGGGTTAAGTGTTCCAGTCATGTAACCTATGGGCTTAAAATCATTAAATCTATATTTCATTGACCCTATGCTTGTTCACCTGCCTGACATCGCGGGCTTTCTCGGTGGTCTCCGAATGCCCAAGAACCAAGGGAAATACTGAAATACGATTGTAAATATACACCATATATTTGTTCAAAAATGACCTAGTTTGTGTTGAGTTAACGATGAATCCTATTTATTTGCCGTCCAACAAGAATGTTTATCATTCAATGGAACACAGCATATAAGGCGCACCACATGAGGCATCGAGGATCAAGCAGTTCGATTAAAATAGTAGTTCCCAAATAAATGTGCACTTCCTATTTAATTCACAGACATGTATTCTGAAAATATAAATCTAAAGATGAAATAGATTTGTGAGCTTTTAGAACAAATGTCAAAACTTCTTTGTCACATAGAAACATATTTCAAATAAAACAATACCCACTTACATAATTATTTAAAATAATAAACCTAAGGGATAAACTATTTAATTTGTGAATTTCACTGTTAATAAAGTATCTTGTGAAACCTTTAAAGCGGAAATTTCAAATTTTTAAGTTATATTTTTAAAATTTATTAAAATAAAGCCTGAAAATAGATGGTAACCATAAACAGTCCTACCTTGTTAAAGAATACTCCTATAATTCACTATTGTCAGCTGAGAAATTGGCAAAAATATCATTTTCCTCTTCAAATTCAAACGTTTGAAAAAAGCTACTCCATGGTGGAGAATAGAAAACAAGGGAGGTAATTGGGAGGTAATTGTGTTATTATTTCCTGTGTAAATGAGTTTTAAGTGTGAGAAAGATAACCCATGATCGTATAATTGTGAGTTGACAACCTATTGAGCAAAAGACATAGAAATAATTATGTTTTGACTTTCTTAGAAAATTTGAAATTCTCGCTTTAAATTATGTCAAACCTATGTCATTAAAGACCAATGTGACAGTAAATGTTGGGGCCCATGATTCACTTCATAGTTCTTCCTGTACACAGTATCATTCTTAAACAGCCCATTCTTAAAGGACCATGTCAATCATAGTTGTGTTTTATATTTTACTCCTTGTCACGTACTTTTAAATATTCACCAATGTCAGCTGACACATCATGTGACAGCTACTTTATTAAAGACCGGTCTCGTGTTAAGTATAGGCGAAATTATTTCTCGTTGGGTTGTGGTTAGTCGACACAAAATGAAACGAAATAAAATGTTTTTAATAGCCTATTTTTATGCACCAACCGGTGCTATGAGGGAAATTTTGCGCTGACAGCGGCTGTGGCCTACTTTTATTCGAATTCCAACTGTAGGCTTCTTTCACGTGTGGGGGGCACGGTGGCTCAGAGAGTAGGACGTTAGCTCGTTAACCTGTAGGTCCCGTGTTCGATGCCTGCGTTGGCCGAGACAGTTCATCGGGAATTTTTCGGCGTTGTTTTGTCAGTACAGGGCTTTAAATGTGTACACGGGGTCCATCCGAAGGACTAGACACAGTTTCTTGCTAGGTCCTCCTTCTTTGTCACTGGAGTACAGTCGACAGAAACGGATAACAAATAAATAGAGCGACAGTGGTTGTCCTTTAATAGGAATAAAGCTAACGCGGACACAATGTGAGTATTTGTAAATGTCATTTATCCGTGATTTCCGCGAGTGCAGAAAGAACACAAGCTGTATTTTAAATAAACAGATTTAAATCAAATACTATACAAACATTGAGCATCAGAGGTCACGAATAATCTTGGTTAGTTCAGGTTCACATTCAACAGCATTAAACAGTCTGTAACAATAAATCCCCTTTTACACAACTTTTAGATATTTCTAAATAATCTGGACATTTTCCAAATTTCTGTAAAAATGGAAAGTCGTCCACGAAATCTGACGTTAAAGGCCCTAGTAGATCAACGAATTCCGTATAATTTCAAAAATAAATTGTTAAGACATGAATGGTTGAAACCACTGACCCATAGAAACGCACAAAAACAGTATTTGCAATTTCTTCTTTTATCTACGTTAGACGTACATTTTTCACTCTACAATGAGCGATCAGAATAAATCACTTTATTCGTTTTAGATTGTGTTTTATGGATAGCCATGTCTAGCAAAAATGTAATAACCTTATACAAAGTATGACCCGGTGCAATATGGCGGGTGTATTAGGCCATAATTACTTGATAATGTCATTTCAATTAATCTAAGTTGGGGTTTGGGGCTAAGGGGGGAGAGGGCTTTTCTCCAGGTTATTGAACGCAAGTAACTATTCAGTTAGATACAGTGACGTAACTGAACGAGACCTGATTTAAACACAGAAGTGAGATTTCTAGAAGTAAAACGTAGACTTTCAGAAGAAAAAAAAACCCTGGGTTAAGAGCCCGCAGTTGAGAGGGTCGCGATTAGTTAACTTTACTGAGCAGTCGAATATCTTATTTCCGTTGTATCTATAACATGACAGATTTGCTAATTAAAACACGACGGGGTAGAGTTTTTCTAACATTCTATTGCGTGGGCCAAGACTTTACAATGGAAGGTCTCACGCGTACCAAAATGAAACTCATCCAAGAACTTTTGATCCTCAATACATGAATCGGATAAAAATTGTCGCCTCTAGGAGATCCACAAACTTCATTCATATTTCACATTTTGCGTAAAGGGCATTTGGCATAACTCTAGAACGGAAGGTCCGATGCGCACCAATCTTAACCTCACCCAACAAACGTTTTAAGTTTCATCGAAATCAGATAAAAATTGTTACAACCTTTTTATTACATACTTTTCAACTATTTGCGTAAAGGGGAGTGGCCATTTGACGGGAAGTTTCGGTCCGATTTTCAGGAAGTTCGGAATCAACCATAATTATGGTGTAACGGTGATATATTTGAACGATTTTTCAAATAAGATAAAAACAAATTGCTACCTCTATAGGATCCACAAGTTAAAAACGTGATTTTTTGTACAATCACGGTCCATAATCCAGAAAGTTACGACCCGATAGGCGCAAATTGGAAATAAATTGTGACTTGCCAGCCAACCGTACCATGCGATAGAGCACGGTCAGGATAGTTCAATGATGGCTGAAAATGCTGATACGTGTGTAGATTTGTCTTATTTGCGTTATTTACACCATGGACCGTATTTCAGGATCCATTGTAACACCAAGAAGTTAGAGAATGAGGCTTAGGCTATGGTTTATTATCAACTTTGATTTTTATATGAGTTTTCTTGATGAATTTGACAGATTAAGCTCTTCTTATTCGAATATATATATATACATATGCCCACGACAAAAAAAAACTTTGTGAACTGATCTATGTTACCAGTTAACCCGGATGGAGTCAGCGTTGTAAGAAAATGTTTTAAAAGCATTTCTTCATCCCCATCGTCAAAAATATAGTCTTAGAAATTAGTAAATAGCAGACAATATAGCAGGCGAAACAACTGACATGGGCCAATGGTCAGGGCCTATTGCGTTCGATTGCTTGTTCAGACTGTAGTCGCGACCACAGTTTACATCCGATGGTCGCCCTGGGTATTATATGCTTTTACATTATTTGCGTAAAGGGGAGCGGCCATTTGAACTTTGAATTTGTACTCAGTCGTAATGGTGTAACTGTGAAATATTTGAACGGTTTTTGCAATTTACAATCAATAAAAATTGTGACCTCTAGGGTGCCCACAAGCTAAAAATGTGAGTTTTCGTACAACCTGGGGTCATAATCCAAGAAGTTACGGCTACATACATTGTAAGTTTCATCAAAATCGGATAAAAACTGTGACATCTAGAGTGTCCACAACCGTGGTAATATTATGTATATATTTTTCCAGTTCAACATCACAGGAAATCACCATCGACTGCTGTGCATTCGTGGTAAGGGATTAAAAATAAACATAAAAACTTCATTGCTGAGTAATTTTA